TAGCTGAGTCATGGCAGAGGGAACAGGCTGCGGCAGTGCGGGTCATTTCATCTGGTGCTGCTGCATCTCCTGCCCTGCCTGGACCCCCTCCCCCCCCCGCCAGATCCTCAGCCTCACCCTGAAGTGGAGCCTCTGGGCTGGACAAAGACACAAGAGGACAAAGGGCTTACCCCAAGACGACCCAGAAAACAGGTCGGCGCCACCTCTCCCAACCTCTGAACTGCACAAGTTAAAATTCAAAGGAACAGAGCTTGGGATCATGTGAGCCCATGCTCAGAGTTTGATCGGCTCCCCAAAGGACTGCCGCACAATGACGACCAGAAGCACTGATGCTGAGGCCCCATCAGAAGCACTGAGCTCACAGAATGGGACCCAGAGGCATGGGGCAGGGACTGCTCTGCTGCTGTGGGGAGCAAAATTCTGGAACATCCCCCTCGCCCCTCCACCCACCAGGCTCCCTTCCATGGTTCTGCTGGAGCCCCAAGATCTTTTGTGCTCTCCATGGTCCTGAAGAATCTTCTCCTCCAGACCTCAGTATTTGCTTCTGTAAAATGGGGGGTTGCAAAGTGGAGCAGGGATGTCTAACTCTGCCAGGCTGTCCACACTTTCAGTATTGTGTGTGAGCATATTGGTAAGGGTTCTCCTGAGTAGAGGTGCCCATGACTGCACCAACTAAGATCATTTAGACAGGAGGTCACAGACTGGTGACTGAGGGGGCAGGATCCTCCTTGTAGATGTGATGTTCTGGCTCATGCTTTACTCTTTATGAACAAAATCACGGGGAATTGTGAGATTTCACCTAAAAGCCAAAGATCAAACCTCTTTTGAAAAACCAGGAGATCTGATATTATGGGGCTGACATTATGCCATCCCCAAAATTACAGGTGCCCAGCAACTGTTGTCCTGGAGACAGGGGTTGTGCTTCTCACCTCACCACAGTCCCCACCCTGCCCTATTGCCCCACAAGCCTGAAACCCGTCGTCAGCTCTAGGTAATCACCAAGCTTGGATGTTCCTTTTCTTTAAGTAGTGACCTTCTATACTCACAGCACTGTCAAAAGTGCAAATTAGGTCCGAGAAAAGGATCTGATTTTTCTTTCAGCAATCCTCTTTGCTCATTAAAGTATTCCTTGCATTTGAATGTGTAACACCCAGTTAATATCATTTGTCTAGCAAATATATATTGAAGCACCAAGGTCAGAGGTGAACAGAGACCAGGCCCTGTTGCATGCAGCTCACGGCTGGAGGAGAGAAATAAGTAAGGAAGCAAACAATGGACTTTAGCCTGTGGTTGGCAGCATTGTGACAATGAAGCCAGAGAACGTGGAGCGGGGCACACCACAGTGGACAGTGCAACAGGAAGGGCCTCTGAAGAGGGGCCAGGGGAGAGAGGCTGAACAGCCGGGAGTCAGCAAGGCCAAGGTGATCAGGGTAACACGTGCAAACCCCGAGAGCCCACTGCTGAGTGTCCGCGGAGCCTCTGCGCCCTAGTCCCTGCCTGCAGAGCTCCTGGGAGGTGTTTCCTGTCCGGAAGCCAGCGCTGTCCCAAGGCCCAGCAGGGTTTCACTTATTAATTCCTCACCAGATGCCTGGCACCCAGCTGGCAAGTCTGAACCCATTTGTCCACAGGAAGCTCAGCCAGGCAAGGGAAGCCGTTTGGGGTCACTTGGACCCCATTTCAATCCCTGTGCCAACAAGCTCGTGGCCCACACTCCTGCCCCACTTACCAGCAAAGCCCACAAGGCCAGGGGCACCACCAAATCCCCAGCCCCTGACCTCTGCCCAGTTCACCTGTCATGTGGGCCTGCGGACATGTGGACGTGAGGACACGTGCTGCACCTGTTTTCCGTCGCGGCTGAGGGCTGCTGCTAGCATCCAGGTGGGGGCTGTGGGAGGGGGATGGGGCAGGAAGAAAGGGAGAGGGAAGAGAGGAGAAGCAGAGTTAGGAGGAAGAGAGGGCAGCAATGAGAGGATGCAAAGAGAAAGAGGAAGAAAATGAAGTGAAGGGACGTATAGGCCCAGGACTCTGAGCCTTTGAAAGGCAGCCCTAGCAGCCATATTTTAACAACATGCCTGCCCTGGCCCATTTGTATGATGTATGGAATGGACCTGTGCATGAAAGAACCCATACTGTCACCCCCAAAGCAGATCTATTGGACCACTGGCAGAAGGTACACATCAATCGCTGAGTTGTCGTGGCATGGAGAAGCACTCAGCTGTCGGAGAACCGATGACCACGGCCGCGGCCACATGGATGTGTGTCTCCCAGACACTAGCCAAGGCAACACAGCCCGACCCACACCTGTGCCTCGTAGGACTCTAAAGCCATGGGTCTGCCCAAGCACTGGGCAAAGAACTTGCCCCACTGAAGACATTCTAGAACAACAGCTAGAGAGCAAAACAAACTGAGGGGATTTTTTTAAAAGCAGCTTAATAAGTTTTCATACAATAAAACACGCCCCTTGTAAATGTCGCACAAACAACTGTGCTGTTAAAGCCGCTGTCCCAACCAAGAGGCAGGACATGTCCCTTGCCGCCTGCGGGTCGGTCCCCATGCCCCTTCCAAACACTGCTGGGATTTCTAACTCCATTGATTAGCTTCACCTGGTCTTGGATTTGATGTGCCCCATGTGCCTCAGTTGTCCCACCAGCAAACAGGATGTAATAATCCCTGCCTTGAAGGGCTGTTGTGGGGTTAGAATGAGTTCATGGGCATAACATAGAGTCCATCATTTAAAAAAAAAAGATTTTATTTATTTTTATTGGAAAGTCAGATATACAGAGAGGAGGAGAGACAGAGAGGAAGATCTTTCTGCTGATTTACTCCCCAAGCGGCCGCAATGGGCAGAGCTGAGCCAATCCAAAACCAACAGCCAGGAGCCTCTTCTGGGTCTCCCAGGCGGTGCAGGGTCCCAAGGCTTTGGGCCATCCTCGACTGCTTTCCCAGGCCACAAGCGGGGAGCTGGATGGGAAGTGAGGCCTTTAGGACACAAATTGGTGCCCATATGGGATCCTGGCGAATGCAAGACAAGGATGTCAGCTGCTAGGCTATCATGCCGGGCTCGAGTCCATCTCTTGGTGTGGCCCTGACCACAGAGGGGCATCGGTTGCAGGACCCCTACAGATACCCATGTCCTCAGATATGCAGGTCCTTATGTAAGCCCGGCATAGGATTGACATGTAAGTGTCACAATCATCCCACATACTTCATGTCGTTACTGATGGCTCTAAACGGAGTACAAGTGCTGTGGAACCAGTTGGACTACATCATTTAGGACACAGCGACAAGCAAACATTTGCCCATGCTCAGGGCAGACATACATATTTTTAAAATGTTTTCAATCCACAGTTGGATGGATCTGGTGGGGAATCCCCAGGCACAAGGATATCCTTGGAGAGGTGCCACCCAGTATGGCTCTACGTCCCACTTGAAGGACAACCCAACTTCCCAGCTGGGAGCTGGTCCTAGAAGTCTTATTTCCCTGACAGATTTGATCAAGCAGGTAGTTACTGTTGTAACCAGGATGGTGCCAGTTGTAGGAGGTGGCGGGGGGAGGCATTGGGGTTGGTGGGACAGAAGAGTGTCTCGGTCTGGTTGGACTGCCATAATAAAGTGCCCCAGGCTGGGCTGTGCAGAAACAACACAAAGTTATCGCTCCGGGGTGGGGCCTAGTGTGTACACAATGAAGGGACAGCCTGGCACAGTGTCCGGTGAGGGCCTCTCGCCCTCTTCCAAGCTGGCGCCTCATTGCTCTGTCCCCATGGGGCAGAAGGAAGCCTTCACTCATTTTGAGAAGGATAATAACCACGGCCAGGAAGGCAGACCCTCCCAAAGCTGGTACCTCTTATTGCCACCATGAGGGGGATGAGGTCTGAAGGGGACCCGGCAGCTAGCAGGCGCAGAATCTTCTAGTTGACTTAGCTCCTTCCTCCTCTGCCCCTGGGCTTGCTGTGCTGAACTGTGCTCTAGTCTTGGCCTGTCAGGGGTGAACAATTTGTCTGCATGTCTATCTGCTTGAGCAGGAGGAGCAGGCGAGCTGGGGCTGTGGTTCGATGCCAAACCTTGAATGCCAAGTGGGGGAGTTCATCCTAGCTCTGGAGGCTCATGTCTTAGATCCAAGAGGAAGATGCAGCATCTTACACACACGGTCTTCAAAGCTCAGAGAGGCAAAGCTGTTGAAGGCGCTCACTACGTCCAGGCTCATGGTCTCTACTGAGGACCCATATTCTCCAGAATGGAATACCAATAACTCAGCTATACAGAACCGGGACAGTGTGGCACCTAGTAGCCCTGCAACTGTCGGTGACTGTCATTGTTGGTGGAGTGTGTGCTGCGTGCGTTGCTGTGCCGAGCGCTGTATATGGATGGAGCGGTCACTGCTGGTGCTCCCTCTGTATGCCCTTCGATGCTCACACACACACCTGCTACTGAATCTGCTTCCTCTGTCTGCACAGCTATGTTCCACCTGCAAGTGGATAGGCTAGAAGTTCTGAGAGTTAATGGTCCCAGGAGCTGCTCTCAACCACTGATGGCCAAGTGTGGCAGTCAAGTCTCCCAGCTTCTTTTGCCTCCCAGTGTGGGGTTGGTCTAAGGCAGGTTCTTTCCTAGCGCTTCCCATCAAGAACCGAGCTCCAGTCCCACATGAACACACGTTGCATTGGTCTTCTGCTCTTTCTAGAACTTTCTGGAACTTGAACACACGTTGCATTGGTCTTCTGCTCTTTCTAGAACTTTCTGGAACTTTCTATCAAGTAAACTGTTTCCGTTCTCATCTTCATCTCAGGCTTTACTTCTAAGACAGTGGACTTGTTCACTCCATTTTCCAACATCCTAGGAGGTGGATGGGAAGAGCTTTTCCTTTTTGCAGTTGAGCAAATGGAGGCCCAGGAAGGTGAGGGCACTTGCTGAGGGCTCCGGTGGAGGGGGGCCATGCAGGGCTTCTCCTCCCCAGCCCCTGAGCCTCTCTGACGCTCTCAGTCTGCATCTCCCCTTACCCACAGGAAGGCCGCTGCCTGTATGTCATCCTGCTCATGGCCGTGTACTGGTGCACGGAGGCCCTGCCCCTGTCGGTGACAGCGCTGCTACCCATCATCCTGTTTCCCTTCATGGGCATCCTGCCCTCCCACAAGGTCTGCCCCCAGTACTTCCTCGACACCAACTTCCTCTTCCTCAGCGGCCTGATCATGGCCACCGCCATCGAGGAGTGGAACCTGCACCGCAGAATCGCTCTCAAGATCCTGATGTTAGTGGGGGTCCAACCAGCCAGGTAAGGCCAGGTCACGGGACCTGCAGCGTGGAGGGAGGGACCACCGTGCGACAGCCTGTCGTTCTGGCTTCTTACCGTCCAGTTTCTTTTCTTCAGCTCCGTAGTTAGTACCAGCTGTGTGCCAAGCACTGTGCTGTGGGGTAAGCCCACCTCTGGGCAAGGGTCCCCTCAGGTACATATAGGATCCCAGGAGGAGAGTGGAAATGCTGACAACCCCCACCCATCCGGGGCTTCGTAGAGATTCAGGTCCCCTCATGTTAGAGGGGGCTGCATTAGTAGTAAAAGGCTCCCAACTCAGAGCTGAATCCCAGACTGTGTGTCCTGAAGAATGACTTAACCATCTCTGCCTATACAATGGCCATGTTGTTGCACCTGCTTTCAAGGGTCATTATGGAGAATGAGTGAAGGTGGGTGACTCGCATAGACCTGAGCAGCAAATGCCAGCCACACTGCCCCTGCTCGCCATTTACCTGCCCGGGTGATGGAGGCAGAGGGAGGCAGGTGAACAGGTGAGGGACGGAGAGGGGATGGGAAGATGGTCTTATCTGAGAAGGAGGGAGGAGGGAGGCAGGGTCTAATCCTGCCTGGGGTCCTGGGGAATTCAGAGGGTTAAGGGAGGGCACTTAAAATGGGGTGTTTGAAGACTTTTGTTTCTTATTCTTTTTTTTTTTTGTTTGTTCCATTAACCCTTTTGGTTATTTATTAAATCTTAAGGTCTTCCCAGAATCTCTGTTAATACATAAAATACAACCTCAGGATTTTCAACAACCTCCATCCTATCATAAATGCAGTTTTTTTACAGAACACATAAACACACATACACACTACACACAACACATACATCATACCACATACACACACCACACACATCACACACACACACACACACACACACACACACACACACACACACACACACACACACACACCACATGCTGCTGCGGTAGTGCCCCTGCATCCCTTTGTTAGCAGGTGGCAATAACGGGCAGGGCCCTCACAGCAGCCAGCACCTGTGGCAGTTTGGAGTGTCTGTGAGAGTCCTGGATGGCTGCAGCCGTTGTGACGTGGCTCAGACATATCTTTGACCCTTTATGGTCCCAGGCCCCGCTCCTACTACTGAATTCTGTTCCCTGTTCCTACTCTGTTGTGATGAAGGGTTAGCAAAATGAAGCTGCAAACTTTCTCCTTCCAGTCTTGCTCTGCAACTGTGGGACCTCTGGTGAAGCGTCTGCTCTAAGGGCCCTAAGCTGGGAAGTGATGTGGCTGCAGATGCAGCTTTAAACTAGATTTTGTTTATTTATTCAAAAGGCAGGGAGAAATCTCCCATCTGCTGGGTCACTCCCCACATGCCTGCAATAGATGGGTCTGAGCCAGGCTACATCGTCCTCCCGTGTGAAGGGCCCCAAGTCCTTGAGCCGTCTCCTGCTGCCCCCAGGGTGTGCGTTGGTGGGGCGGGGCAGAGTCAGGAGTGGGTCTGGGACTTGAACTAGGTGCTCCGGATGGGAAGAAGGTGTCCCAAGCAATCTTCTAACTGCTGGGCTATGCACCTTCCTCTTGCATTTTTAAAATCATCAGGGCTACTGTGTGGCAGTTGTCTTGGAGGAATGCAGGATCGGGAGGAGGCTGTTGGGGTTCCTTGCCGGATGGTGGCAGTGGAGATGGACTGGTGGGGATGTTAGGGAGCTCTTGGGGTGGTAGGACTTGTCTGGAGGAGGGCATCGGAGAAGCAGGTCTGTTGGGCACTGTAGATGTCTCCTGGATAGAACCCACACCAAAGCTCAGGGACCCATCCTGGCCCAGGGTGCCCTTCTACACCCACTCCCTCTTCTGGGGACTTCAGAGAGGAGGTTGCCCAGGAGCTCAGCTCTGAAGAACAGAGGGGCTGCTTGCAAGTAGGAAACAGAACGATGCTCATCAAGAAACACATTCATCAGACACAGAACTGATGATATCCACCTCTATGGGAATTCTAATAATAGGTTCAGTCCAGGAGAAAGATCTATCCACATCTTATTCCCTCTTGCACATCTAAGTAAATTCCGCGAGGATTAAGAGGGTGATACAGGACCAGCACTGTGGTACACCAGGTTAAGCCTCTGTGTGTGATGCCAGCATTCCATATCAGAGCGTAGGTTTGAGTCCCACCTGCTCCACTTACAATCCAGCTTCCTGCTAATGTGCCTGGGAAGGCAACAGAAGGTGGTTTAAGTTCTTGAGCCCCTGCCACCCATGTGGGAAAGTGGATGGAGTTCCAGCTGGGGGCTTTGTCCTGGCCGGGGCCTTGCTGTTGTGGTCATTTGGGGAATGAACCACTGGGTGGAAGTTCTATTTCTCTCCCTCTCTCTTTGTAACTTTGCCTTTAAAATAAATAAATAAATCCTAACAAAGACTGCAAAAACAGCAATATATATATATATATAATATATATATAATAAATATATATATATATAATAAAACACCTTAGATCTGTTGGAGGGAAGGGATCGAGTAAGGGCAGGGAGTGTAGGGGTACGGGGGTGGGGGGTGTTGCTGAGAGGTTTGGTAGAATAAAAGTAGGTGCTGGGGCCAATGGGAGAGGAGGCTGGGTGGTATGCGGGCGAGATGGCAGAGTCTCAGTGCACAAGCAGCCATCTTCTGGCACAGCACCATTGAAGGTTTAAGACCAGGAGAGAAGATGTTCTCAGAGCGGTGAGCCCCTGTGGGTGGTACACGGGAGCACAATGATCCTAGCTTTGCTGAGGCGTAACAAAGGCCTGTGTACGCAGCCGTGGATGCCTCCTCTGAGCTCCAGCTTCCTGTCTGGGGCAAGGCAGATGGCTGGGTTGCTTGGAAATGGCAAGGCGGGGCCAGAGGCCCTGCTGGGCCTGGGCTTCCTCACTCACCTGCTATGGGCCTCTGTTTTCCAGGCTTATCCTGGGAATGATGGTGACCACCTCATTCCTGTCTATGTGGCTGAGCAACACGGCCTCCACCGCCATGATGCTGCCCATCGCCAACGCTATCCTCAAGAGTCTCTTTGGCAACAGGGAGGCACCAAAGGACCCCGGCCAGGAGAGTGGGGAGAACACAGGTACTGTGGCAGGGTGGGGGCAGGGAGGGCCTGGGGCCGTTGCATTGCTGGGAAGGAGCAGGCGGGGACCGATAAAGAATGCAGGGGACAGCCTGGCACCCATGGAGCACCTACTGTGTGCTAGGTATTTTAATAGTCACTGGGAATGAGGTCAATCAAATCCTGCAACCTTGGCTTTTTCCAAATTTGCCCTGCCTGAGTGCTTCTGTGCAAACTGAGAGTTCACCACTCGCGAATGTTGCATTTCGTTAGTGCCATGAAGTAGGCACTATTTTGTGGAGTTTGAAAATCGTATGGGCAGTTCTGGCTTCTGCCCCTCCTGCTGGGTGGAATGCAAGGATGCGAGCCAGAAGCAGGGATGAACCTCAGTTCTGAAGGTGAAGTTGAACCTTAAGAGATAGAAGGTGGATTTGCCCCAGGAGTTTTGAATAATCGACTTCACACGAACAAAGCATGGGTTATCCACTGATGGGTGGATTTTGTTGCCTGGCCATGTTTGTGGTGCATGCATCAAAATAAACAAGTATCCATTAAAGTATAAGCTTTAGCTCACCAACATCTAAACCAACCCCACTCACTGACAGTAGCCGGTAGATTTTCCCATCATGCAGTTAGGGGTCCTGCTCATTTTATTTCCACAAGAGGCCCTGAAGGCTAGAGGTGATTCTTAGGTCCTTACAGACATAGTTCCAGGACGTGAGACTGCAGTCCAGGATCTCATTGTTCGTGAAGCAGCTGAGCCAGAGTCTGTGCCGGGGCAGAGCTTTCCACATGGAAGGGAGGATGAGCCATAGCCAGGCCAGCAGACCCTGCCCATCACTGCTTCAGGCTCCGCAGCCTTGCAGTTGCAACTGCTCAGCTCAGCCCTTAAAGAGAGTGGAAGAGTGCTGATGGGTGGGGCCATGTGCCAGTAGAATTTTATTGATGGCTGTTTCAGTTGAAACTTCATACGATTTCCACATCACAACCTGTGAGTAGTAATCTGCTGATCTTTTCCACCATGAACAAATGTAAGAACCATGCTGCGTTGATGGACAGGGTGGGTGCAGCCTTGTCTACCACCAGCTACCCATCTGTTTTTGAGCTGTTTCCTCCAAGTCTTGGGGCTCTGCTTGTCTCCCATGTCTCCCCCACTGTATCTTGTGCAATGCACTGGCCTTCTACACTACCCTGAGAGCTGATGGCTGAGCACTTTATGCCAGGAACCTCCTGGAGGCCTTGACTGAGAGGTGGAGCTTGCCTTGACCTCATGTTGATGCACGGAAGTTGACAGTTGACGATCAGCGGTATTGGTGCTTTCAATCAGGGCAAGCTGGCTTCAGAGCCTGCATACACACACACCCTCTGCTGTGGAGTCCCCTGCAAATGATGATTGCTTTTTTTTTTTTTTTTCTTATTCTAAGTAGCCAAGCAAATACTTGGAAGCCAAGTCCTTCATGGTAGACATGAGAAACAGCAGGACCAGGAAGGAGAGGAGGGCGTTGTCACACTGAGGGGCAGTTGTGTTCTGAATTTACGCTTTCCTCCTGCCCTGCAGGGTAGAAGAGGGCAGAGCAGCCTGGGAGTCTGGGGCAGACACCTGCTTCCACAGGCCAGGATCGGAGAACAGGGCAGCCTGTGAGTGATAAGCCTCCTTAACCTCAAACAAGGTTGATTCCCATGCCCAGATTTCCCTAGTTCCTGTGTGGTACCCAGGAGGTGAGGGCTGGCATGGAGATGGTGTTTGTGGACTGGGGTGCCCTGCACTGAATCTGGCACAAGAGTCATCTGTGCGCTAAACTCACTCCTGATGAACCCAGCTCAGCCACTAACCTAAGGTCCTCTGGATCTTTACCACAACCACCTTCTGAGCCTCAGTTTCCCCAGATGTGAGGGCGAGGGGAACCGACCTAACCTGGCCTTCCTGTGCTGCTCAAAACTGCAAACCTACAGACAAGAAAGCTGCCTGCTCTCTCTCCCGGCCCCCTTATTGGGGACTTGGTGTTAAATGGAGCAGTCTCCTGGGAGGGTAGACCTTGCCACCTGTGTGCAAGGGGTCTCCTGGACCTGGGGGAATGATTAAATATGTTGTTCATGCCTTGGTTTTTTCCTCTTTTTTTTGTTTTTTTGTTTTTTTCAATTTCATCTTCTTTTGTTATCATGAGCAGAAAAATCATGCCTGCTAAAAAATGTCTTCACATGAGAAATCTGCATAAAGGAAAAGCAAGACTCCCTCCCTGGCAGCCTTACTGGTCAGGTTCACGGGCGCCATCAGCCCTGGTGCACCTTGCCCTCTGCTGCCCTGGCCAGAGTACACATAGCCTCACCACAGGGCGCTCAGCTCAAGTGCTGGCCGTGGGTGGCAGGCTCTGCAAGGGAGGCAAAGAGGCCCAGGGGAGACTGTGGCAAACGGGGTCGGGGGGGGGCGGGCACTCAGGCCCTGCCCCGTGCAAGCACCTAGCAGCCCTCGGAGGCCGGAGTTCTCCAAATCTCACCCCATGCCAACTGCGATGTCCCCTCCTCTGATGCAAAGCCAGGAAACAACTGCATCTGGGATTCTGGGGCTGGATGCTGAAGGAGGCCATGGCCAGGGTCCAGGGAGGGCAGGTACAGAGTGTGCGGGCTGGGGAGCGGTGTGATGGGAGGGGTGGAGAAGCTGGGGGCACTGGGTCAGGCTCCTCCTCTTGCCTGTGGGTCCCCTGTGGAGTGACTTTGCTCCTACCCTTTTAGGTGTCCGGTTAATATCCCCCTACTCCCTGCTTCAGTGCCCTGGCTCAGCTGCGAGCCTGGTACATGCAGAGCAGGTGTTCCCATCAGCATGCCTGACCTGAGGCCTTCGTCCCCACCGCCCAGGGCTATCCCAGCTGACTTTCAACCTTCAGACCCCTGCTGGGGGTCGGCAGTGTACAAAGGGGGTCAGCCACCCCTCGTGATGCACACAGGCAGGGCAGGCAGGGGAAGGGGCCCCACTAGGGTCCACCTGCAGAGCCTGTGGCCTCACTTGCATTGTGAAAGGCTTCTTCTTCCGGCCAAAGGTCCCTTAGGTGACCCCAGGCCCTCTAGCCAAGGCTGCTGGGTGCCTCTAAACAAATTGAAGAAGGGTAGCTGACCCCAGAGATTCCCCAAGGGTCCAAGTCAGAGGGAGTGGCCAAGGGGGCGCATTCATGTGGGGTCACGTGAGAGCAAGCCCAAGGAAGCCCCGCTGGTGCCGGGCTGGGAGCTGGAGGAGGTTCTGGCACTGAGCTGAAGGCAAGCAAGAGGCTGCCCGTGTCTCGGTGGGCGGAGGGACTGTGCACTCAGACGAGATGGCCACACGGCCTTGCTTTGCTGGTGATCTCACAGTCACAGCGAGCCCCTGCCCGAGGTGGGTGCCCTGGTAGACAGTGGAGCCCCACCCAGAGGACCCCAGGGTCTGGCCACACAGGTTACCCCAGTGCCCTGTGGCAGCGACTGCCTTTGAATGAACACATTTCCCCACTCTTTGCTGGCCCTGAGTTCCCTGCTAAGTTCTTTGCCGCCCCACGGCCACCAACAATGGGCTTTTGTGCCTTTTGCGAGCTAAAGCTACGGCTGTCAAGTAAATGGCTGACCTAGATCCCAAGAAGCCGTGGGTCAGAGCTCAGTGTTGTAGGGAAGTAGCAGCGTGGTCACAACTGGCCGCACTCCCGTGATAGCCAGGGCAGAGCTGCGGGGCACCACCCGGACCCCTCTGTCCGGCTTCTCGCAGAGGAGGCACTGCTCCCTGACTGCAGGTAGCCCCTCCGTTCCCATGACAGCCCCAGAACCTGCACTTCCATTTTGTGAAGTAAGGAGTCGAGGTACAAAGGAATGAAGAGTTTCTCTACATTTCCCTAGGCATCTCGGCTGGGGCCCTTCCAGCAGGCTCCCAGGAGAAGCCCAAATCCTGATGGTGCACCCCGCCACCTGGGGGTGGGAGGGACCCAACCTGGGGCCATTACCTACTGCCTGCCAGGGTGCACACGAACCGGAAGCCATAACCAACGTGGAGCTGGAAATCAAACCCAAGCACTCTGATATGGCATCTGCTGAAATGCTTTCCCAGGCAGCGTCTCAACTGCGCCAGCTCATGCCTGCCTGCTCTCCACCCGCCAGGAGCTTCCATTTTTGTCTCCTGCAGCCCACCACCCCCTGCCAGGTTCCAAATGCAAATCCTGCCATTCCTCTTAGGAACCAAATCTGGCAGGGCTCCACTGACTAGCTGCACCAGCACACTGCATTTCCATGGCTCCTCGGCTCTGCCAAGTTCCTCCTGACCACAGGGCCCTTGCACATGCTCTCTTGCCCTGGAGCACACTTCCCAGGGCTCCTGTGTGACTGGCTCTCAACTCAGAGTCCTCCACCCACTCCCCTTTATTCTCACCTCCTTCACATTGCCCAGCATTAACCCCTTCATCATTGCTTGAAATGGTCTTGTTTCTAGAACTTAATCTCAGGGGAAGAAAAGCCTTTGTTCTACATGGTCCCCTGAGTGCCTTGAGCTCATGGCTTCCTAGCACATAGTAGGTGCTCACCAAATAGGGTTTGGGGAAGTGAGTGGGTGGGTGGCCATGGTCACCCACCCTCTTGCTAACCTGTTACCCAGTCACCTGCTGGCCAAGGCTACTCATACCATCCCAGGGTGGAGGTATGGGTTGTCAAGCTGCCTCGAAGCCAACTCCCCACCCACGGGCCTGCGACCATCTGTAGCTAGGGGTGATGGGATAGCAGGGTGGAGTGCTGAGAGAGCCTGCCTGCCTTCTTTAGCCCACCCTGCTCTACCCTTCCCTTTCTCTCCACTCCTCTCCCCTTCCTTGCTTTTCCTGGCTATGATGCTGTGGGCCCTGCTGTCCTACTTGCCACCTGAACTAAAGACCCCGTACTCTTCCCCCTAGTGGCGGTGCGGAGAAACGGCCTGCACACCGTGCCCACAGAAATGCAATTTCTTGCCAGCACCGAAGAGTAAGTTCTCCAGGGACCTTCCTCTGGTATCCACGAGGCAGCGACCAAGCACCCAGGGCTGTAAGCCGGCCCCTGCTAACCCTCAAGTCTCTGTCCCCACCCCAAATGACCCAGTGCCCTTACCCCATTTCCTCCCTTGGCTTTGGTGTGAGCTTTGAAAGGGCAGAGGTGGGAGGGGCGGGGGTGCATGTTGAACCCCTAGGGTCTGCAGTCTAAGCATTGTCCTCCAAATTTAATATTTTTTAAAAAAGATTTTATTTTTATTGGAAAGGCAGATTTATAAAGAGAAGGAGAGTCAGAAAGAAAGATCCTCCATCCACTGGTTCACTCCTCAAATGGCCACAACGGCCGGAGCTGAGCCCATCCAAGGCCAGGAGCCAGGAGCTTCTTCCGGGTCTCCCACGTGAGTGCTGGGTCCCGAGGCTTTGGGCCCCCCTCCATTGCTTTCCCAGGCCACAAACAGGGAATTGGATGGGGAATGGAGCATATAGGATGCTGGTGCTTGGAGGCAGAGGGTTAGCCAGTTGAGCCAATACGTTGGTCCCTGAAATTCAATACTTTTAAAAACAAAATTAGGGCTGGTATCATGGAGGGCTGCCTTTTGGGAAGCGCCGAGCTCCTCACCCCAGCCCTGTGTGTCCCAGCAGCTCTGCTCTGCCTTTGTTTGCAGCAAGGATCGGCCGGAAGAGACAGAGGCCCCGCTGGAGCTGCCAGCTGACACCAAGAGGGAGGAGGAGTACCGCAGAAACATCTGGAAAGGTTTTCTCATCTCCATCCCCTACTCAGCCAGCATCGGAGGCACCACCACCCTCACCGGCACTGCCCCCAACCTCATCCTGCTTGGCCAGCTCAAGAGGTAAGTCCGAGCTTCCCACAGGGTCTGCAGCGCCCCCCTCACTCAGCTGCCACCACCAGGCTGTGGGACCCGGGGGAGGCACACGTTCCAGTCAACCCCCTGCCCTGAGTTGGCGCCGGAGAAGGAAATGCCCTGGAGTGCGCATGTGCGCTTCAAGGCAGCCATGGGCAACGCAGCTCAAAGGTCAGCCTGTCCCAATTTTACAGTGTTAAAGACACATCCGAGGACACCTGAAGCCACAGAGGGAAGGTGGAAATTTTGCAAGTCCGCGGTTAACATGTTCACAGCCTTCCTTCTGTCTTTTCTATGCCCATGCATTAAATGCATGCATTTTACATTAGTATTACTCTGTTTGTGTATTTTATGGTTTGCCTTTTTTAAGGAAAACCAGCCTTCTGCTTTTAATTTTTAAAAAGATCTATTTAAGTTTATTTGAAAACCAGAATTACAGAAAGAGACAGAGGGATCTTCCATCTACTGGTTCACTCCCCAAATGACTGTGATGGCCAGTGCTAGCCTGGTCTGAAACCAGGAGCCAGGAGCTTTTTCTGGGGTCTCCCACATGGGAACAGGGGTCCAAGGACTTGGGGCATCTTTTGCCTCTGTCCGAGGCACATCAGCAGGGAGCTGGATGAGAGGTGAAGCAGCTGGGACTCAAACAAGCACCCATATGGATGTCAACACTGCACGTGGAGGTTTAGCCTACTGTGCTGTGGGACCAGCCTCTATATCCGATTTTATCATGATCCGTTTTTAGCAAGCACCATTTGGAATAACCATGGATGAGTCTCTTGGGGATGTCACATTTTATCGAATCACAGACATATTAAATAATTTCCATTTGAAGACTTGGATTTTGCTGTTGTAAGTGATGTGATTGGCCACCTAATAATAATCCAATATTTTGAAAACAGTATCCAAATATATGTCTCTTGTAGAATACAGAAGCGCAGTTATTTGTTGTAAAAGAAAAACAAAAAGTAAAATTCATCTGAGAGCCTCACTCATCTGCTCATTTATGATGCGATGGCTGTCCGCGTCTTAGTGATTTTGGAATGTCTGGGAGTGGATTTGTCCACATGCTCTTTTAGGCATCATTTTGAAAGTCACCATCCCCTCCCCTCAGCCTAGCACTTGCATCCCTGACTGTATTTCCAGTTGGAGTTTCTTTAGAGGCATATTTTCTTGTGGTAGAATTTCTAGAAGCCACAACGGCCAGAGCTGCATCAATCCGAAGCCAGGAGCCCAGAGCCTCTTCCGGGTCTTCCACACAGGTGCAGGGTCCCGAGGCTTTGGGCCGTCCTCAACTAGAAAGCAGGGTCGCCAGGATTAGAACCAGCACCCGTATGGGATCCCAGTGCATGCAAGGCAAGGACTTGAGCCAGTAGGCTACTGCACCAGGCCCTTTAAACAAATGCTTACAAACATGTAAGAATTCCACAATTGCAGGTGAAGAAAAAGCCGGTCCTGGGGTTGCTGTGCTTGCATTCTTGCAGGGTGACCACCAGGGAGCCAATGTGTAAGCGGGTGCATGTCCCTGGTGGTCGTCCAGCTTGGCTGACTGCACACAGGTGCTCATATGACCCCCAGGGGGCGCTATGGAGACAGTACAGTCCACCCTGCCCAGCTCCACCACTAGCATCCCACAAGGGAGAGAAGGAACTTAGGAAACTGGCCTTGTGTCCCAGGGGACAATGTCATTCCTGCTTTGATTCAAGCTACTAGTATCACCGACCCTACTCCCTAGATGGTCGTGGCTGACCTTGACCCTCCTCCCCATTCCTCCACCTCTCCCACCCTGTCCGTTCTCCAGTTTCTTTCCACAGTGCGACGTGGTGAACTTTGGCTCCTGGTTCATCTTCGCCTTCCCTCTCATGCTGCTGTTCCTGCTGCTCGGCTGGCTCTGGATCTCCTTCCTGTATGGGGGACTGAGCTTCAGGTACCCTGCAGTTTCTTCTTGGCAGGCTGTGGGAGGGGGCTGCAGCGGGGGTGGCGGGGAGGAAGGGATGAGCTACAGCCAGCTTGGAGGCTAAGAGAGGGAGGGCCAGTCCCCAGGCCAGGGGTTTAACTCCCCTGTTTTGGTTTCTGGCCTTCAAGGAGGCTGTGAGAAAGGAAGTGCAGGTCAGGGAGAGCCAGGAGCAGGTGTTTCTGGTTGGGGTCACTGCGATGTCTCTCCAGCGGTAACTTCATCTTCACTCTAGTGTTTAGAGAGCAGGCTGGACACCCCGCAGCTCACAGGACAGCCCCCACAAACCCAAGCTTCTCCCGCCTTAGATGGCAATGGTGCCGACGGTGGGAGACCCAGAGCCTGAAAGTGGAGGGGCTTGTGGGGGTGGGGGAGGGTGGCTAGATCTTTATGCAAAAGCCATCACAAGCTTGGAAAAACTGCTGCCTTTGTCTCTTTCATTGGAACACACCGTGCAGACACATGGCCCCCCAAGTCAGAGCAAGGTAGAGATGCCAGCAGCAGGAACTCCCCTTGGCAACCGTGCCCACGTTGGCCCACTCACCCAACAGAACTGCCAAACAAACCTCCACGTCTCTTGCCTTCTTTCCCCCATCAAGTGGGTTTTTCAGAGTTTTCTTGAGCAGAGAGCATTAGACAGCAGTGTGTTTCACTGGCAACTGGTCTCCCAGCAGACAATAGTATATAACACCTCCAGGAACAGACCTTCAAATCAGAGAAGAATCATACTTTCATTGTGATAGAAGTTGTCAAACCATTCTCCATAGGAACTGTACTCGTCTGTTCTCCCATTCACGATGGATGAGTGTCTGTTTTCTTTGCCTGTCTGACAAGGAAACATCACCAATGTGATCTATTTTATTTAAGAGTGATTTTAATAAATTCCCCATATGTTATAGAGCCTTTGGTATCTCATTTGCTGTGAAATGTTAATTTCCTTTGTGTATTTCCCTGATGGATTGCCGTCCTTGTTTTATCCGTTCCTAGTCTCTTTGTCCTTTAGAGAGGTTAGTACATATTCTGCAATATGAGTTAGAGATTTCCTAGCCAGATTGGCCTGGCAGAAGTCTTCTACGCATTTTTATGTAGGTGAAATTACCTTTTTTGGTTCTCATCTGACTTCTGAAATTACACTTTGAAAAGATTTCCCTGTTATAAGAGTATGAACACCACATGATTTCATTCTAGCATTTTTGTGTCATTGGATTTCATCCTTGGGTGAGATGTGACCTAAGGGACATTTTCTCTTCTAGATGGTCACACAATAATCCAATAATGCTATTTGTTCATACAGTGTTGTAAAGTTTGGGGAGTCCAGTGTGCTTGTCTCGAGGTGCCTGTGCCTTGGATGGTGTATCTCAGCAAACTGCTGCCTCCTCCCGAGACCTCATTGCTTCCGGAGCTTGTGTCTCCTCTGACCATGCTAGGAGTTAGCTTTGCCATGGCCATCCTCAATCGATTTTGAGTGAAATGTTGGGTATGCTATGAGGCCAGAGTCCAAATTCATTCTTGCACAAAGATACCCAGTTGTCCTAGCCCCATTTGTTGGAAGATTATTCCCTTGTCATCGAATGGCCTTGGTGTCTGATCAAACATCGACTTGGGGTGTAGGTTTGTCTGGGACTCTCAGCAATCCGTGTGTCCGTCATTCACTGAACAGGCCATTTTCCCCACAACAATCCCACTGTATCATAGCCAAAATTCCCATCTGTGATTGAAACTACTCCTGGGCTTTCCATTTTATTTATTTGATCTGTCTGTCTGGTCAGGTGCCTGTTTGAACCCCAAAAGGATTTTAAGCAGGGAATTCCTGTGGCTGATCCCACTGCCATCTTACCAGGTGTGCCAGGCTATCGGTGGGAGAGCAGCAGAACCAGGCTGTAGGAAGGAGGCAGAGCCAGGGGGCAGGGCCTCAGTCTATCGCGCGGACCAGAGAGGAGCTGACGTGGCTCTGCTGGGGTGGTGGTGGCGGCACTGGTGGTAAATGAGAAGTTAGCCACGGCTGCAATGGCCACTCCTGACTTCCTGCCTTCTACTTTAGGAGCTGCAGGAAGAAATCCGACATAAGGGCTGATGCCGAGGATAAGGCTCGAGCTGTGATCCGGGAAGAATTCCAGAACCTGGGACCCATCAAGTGTGTGGGGAGTTTGGGGCTTGGGGGGATAGCTACCTGCTGGCTTTCGCCTCGGACCCTCAAGGGTTGACTCCCAGGGAACTCTCAGGACCAGTGGTCCGAGAGCCTGGAGACGGAGGGTGGGGTGGTGGGGACAGAGACCTGAATGTTAAAAAGTTCCTCTGAGAACAATACAGCTCTCTTGTGGGTGTCCCTGGGGTGGAGACCTGCCGTGGTCCCATCCAAGGCGGCCTGTGGGTGCGGGCTCACAGGCTCCCAACAGCACCTCTAGTGGCTGCTGGGACACAATAAAGATCCAGGCTTCAGCCCACCTGTGATCAAGTACTGGCTCTGCCACCGACCTCCTTGGTGGCCTTAGGCAAGCCTCTGTGGGCCTCTGTCAGTCTACAGAACGGGGGCAGGAGGTGCTTGGGGTGGCTACTCCCTCCATCAGGTTACCTCATATGCATGGCTGTCCCTCTCAGCGTGGTCTCTGTTGTGTGTGTGTGTGTGTGTGTGTGTGTGTGTGTGTGTGTGTGCCTCCCTCTGTCTTTCTTGATTTTCCTGGAAAATGCCTGGGGAAGGGGATGGCTCAGGGCTAAGGAAGAAGGGTCCTGGGGCTAGGGGAGAACCCAGTCTGCTGCTTCACGTCCCCCCACCCACCCCTAACTGCTCTGGATATTCAGGAGCCCCTGGCTAAGCCCTGTGTCTGCGTGGAACCCCCACTAACACCTGTGCTTTTGTCGCAGGTTTGCTGAGCAGGCTGTCTTCACGCTGTTCTGCATGTTCGCCATTCTCCTCTTCTCCCGGGACCCGAAGTTCATCCCCGGCTGGGCCAGCTTCTTCACGCCCGGGTGAGACTGGCAGAAGGGGCTCCTGCCGAATGGCTTGGGGGAAGGGGAGATCCAGCCCCTGGAACACGGGTGGCAGTGCAGCGGGAGGGAGCCCTGTGTCCTGGCCCCTGGCACCACGCCGTGCTCAGCAGCGCCCTCTGCCTCGCACAGCATTCAGGTTAGGTTTCCAGCTCTGCCCCTTACCAGTTGCAGGGCTGAGACAGTCATGTCCTCCTGCCAGCATTGAGGGGAGCCAGCTAGAAGCATCGTCAAGCTAGAGGCATGATCACAAGTGGAAAATCAGGAAGTAAAGTACCTGCAAAGTGTAGAGGGTGACAGAGAGGGAGAGGAGGGCCGTGTCACAGACAGTGGAGCAGGGAGGTGGAGAGTTGAGGGAGGAGAGTGGCAGGCGAGGGCTGGGCACACAGTCCCATGGGGCATGGGAAGTGTTCAGTCTTTTCATTGGTTGATGGGTTGCTCCAGAGGGCACAGGGCCCTTGTGGTAACTCTAGGATTCCCAGCTGTTTAATCTCTCCATGCCTCTATGTCCTTTCCCTAAACCAAAACTCAGATAATCTCTGAAATCTGAAAGTTCTTGCCCTCTGTCAGGACAGCTGGCCTCTGTGGCAGCCCACGGGCACAGCACGGGCACACGGAACGTCACATGAACCTGTTTTCCAGCCACGCATGTGTGGTGTGCGTGAAACAGCAGTGACTTTCGTGTTCAGACTTGTGCCCCATGCTCAAGATGCTTCATTATGAACATGTGAATATTCCAAAATCTGAAAAACAACGTAAAATCCAGCACACCTCTGGTCCTGTGTGTTGTTTGGGTAAGGAATCTCAACGTGCAGCACATGTCTTAGACACTGAGGATAAGTGAATTAATATGGATCAAGTGGTCAGAACAGCACACAAGAGGAAATCAATACTTATGGGATACAGCCTGGGACAATGGATACCGGGGTACAAAAATACAGATGGGGGGACAGCTAGGATTCCCACTGGCATCCAGATGGCCTGCCAGCAGCCAAACCTAACCCACAACCTGTGTCTTTGATCACTCTGTGACACATGAGACTTTCATGGAATCTGAAGTGTCTGAATCAAATGTGACTGGGACACAGCCACACCTGTCATTTGTATACAATCTCTGGCTGCTGTCACATTCAACATTAATGCCAGGTCGTGGCAGAGCTCATGCAGCCTGCAAGACTAAAGCTACCTACTGTGTGCCTCCCTACAGGCCTGGCTGGCTGAGCTCTGCTCCAGGGCAAGACGGTGATGGCTTAAGTGAAGGTGGAGCCAGGGCAGTGGCACTGTGGGCATCTCCCACAGTTAGCTGGGGCGGGCAGTGAGGGGGCGTGAGGAAGGAGACAGCCTGCACAGCTGGAGATTAGCTGGAAAGAACAGCCTTCTGAGGGCTCGGGCTGGGTTATGCCTTAGACTTGCCAAGTCAAAAAAGCAAAAAACAAACAAACAAAAAATCCTTGCAAATCTGGCAGCAGGTGGATGGTTGGGTATGCAGGACAAGACCTGGGGAGCCATTGAGACCACAGACATGAATTTGGGAGTCACCCTATGGATTTCCATAGGCACTGATGGGCCAGTGGGGAAAGCGCAGGGGGCAGAGCCTTGACTGCGGCCTTTGGTTTGGAGGGGAGCGCAGGATCACATTTGTGGCACAGATGGAGATGCAGTCAGTGGGGGAGGAGTAGGCCAAGGGGAGGAGGAGTTAAAAAGTTAGTGGGCAGCGTGTCGAATTCCGCTGTGAGTTGCACTGGGATTTGATGGATGATACGTAACTGTTGGACTCGTCCAGGTCTGGGTTTCCCTGCACGCACCAGTCAACAGAAGTACAGTGTGGACTGCATGTGGATTTAGACATAGTTTTCATGGCCACATTGAAAGAGTTGAAAAATGGACAGGTGATGTGGTACGAAGGGTTAAGCCGCCGCACCTGGGCCCCCCACATTCCAGATTAGAGTGCAGGTTTCAGGATCAGCTCATCTGCTTCGATTCCAGCATCCTGTTACTGCGTCCTGGGAGGCAGCAAGCCGTATCAAGGACTCGGGCCCCTATGACCACATGGGAGAGCCTGCTTGAGCTCTGGGCTCCTGGCTTCGGGCTGGAGTCCTAGATGTGGGCATTTGGAGTGAAGTGGCAGAATGATCTTTTTGTCTCTTTCTCTGTCACTCTACCTTTCAAATAGATGGCAAAATCTTTTTAAAGGTAAAAGATGAAGCAGATGTCAATAATCTGTTTTATGTATAAATTGTGAAATTGACAGACACAGCTACGTTTTATTGCATGTAAGCTCAATAGAATGCATACAAAATAGCTAAAAAAAGAGCCCCATCGAAACACCAATTTTTAAACATGTAGCAAAGAGTTAGAAAACACAGTAAGTGGTCACAGGCAATTTGCTATTTCTGATTTCATTTCTTTCCAAAACCAAATTGTTTCTGTGGAATGGCAGCACATGAACTGATTTAGCCAGTTCCTGAAGGGAATCGCCCTATGAGGACTTATCCAGGAGTGCGAATAAGACTTACTGCTGAAAGCCTTATGCTATATCTAGGTCAGAGTTCCACGTCTTTGCAGAAAAAGAGTGAGATGATCCTTTATCTTTTTTTTTTTTAAAAAAAGCAGATGCCAGGTGCTTCATAACATGAACAGGACGGAGTTCCATTAAACACCCCTAAAAACCCTCTTTGCCCCTCTTTTTCACCCTCCTTGTTGGGTCATGTCGCTGCACATAATCTATGACCAGAGTCGCTGATTTCGGAGAGTACGTTTCTCTGGACCAGGAGCATCGGCAGGTGGTTCTGACACCTGTTGCCAGGTGCAGTGCAGGTTAAACCCTGATCTCCCAGCATTCACACTGGGTGTGTCTCCTTTTCACGAGTGCTGTCCCACGTGGGCTGGATCTGTCCTCTGAGAATGGTGACCTCTGCCATCCTTTCTAATTGCTTGGTTCTTTGGAGGTTCTTCTCTCCAAATGTGTGAGCTGATGGAGCCTTTGTTAGTGCTGGGCTCCAGGCTTCATTGAACTTGGAGCCAGAATGCTGGGTTCAAGGTCTGGCCCTGAGCAGTTTGTTTTGGCTCTCTGACCCTCCCAATCACTCATCTAAACTGGGAGGTGCCTGCCCTGAGGGCTTCTTACTGAGCAAGTTCCCTCAGGGGCCACATAAGTGGATGAGGCTGGTGGGAGGTGTGGGCTCTGCTGGCACCTATAGGCTCCAGGTAGTGAGCTGCCCAACCCAGGAGGGATCCAAGCTGAGCCAGCAGTTGGGGGGTGGGGGGAAGGTGAGGTCTTGCAAATCTCGTTAAGGCGACTCATGGAGGTGGCATGAGCCTGAAAGTTAAGGTTTTCATTTCTTTCTTGTCCGGAGGATGAGTATGTGATGGGCTCGAGCAGTCCCTGAATGCCCCAGGAGCTTGCGGGTCAGGGCTTTGCACCATTGGGCTGGGAGTGGACTTGGACCGAATGTGTCAGCTCTCAAGCTCCAACAATGCCCTTCACCGTGGACCTAATCCCTGTCCCCATAGTCTGATTTGCAAATCCGCCAGAGCACAGCCTGCCGGGATGCCCAGTGTCACATGCTCTGGGGCCTTCTCATTGTAGGTTTCTTTCGGACGCTGTCACTGGTGTGGCCATTGTCACCATCTTGTTCTTCTTCCCGTCCCAAAAGCCCTCCCTCAAGTGGTGGTTTGACTTCAAAGGTAAGAGGGGCAGGCCTGGGCCCTGGATTCTTGTGACATCTCAGCCAGTGGCCTGGGCAGTGACCTACCTGCTCGGAAGGACTGAAGGCTGCCCCAGGTTAGCCACTGCCGCCTGTGGGTCCAAGGCAGCCGTGCAACCACGATGCACGGTCCAGAAGCCAAGGGTGGTTTGCACGTTCTTACAAAAGAAAAGAAATCCCCAAAGAAAATCTTTATTTCATGAGTCTTGAAAAGTTCATGAAATTCAAATTTCAGCATCCATAAATAGTGTTTTGCATTTCCTTAAGAAGTTGGATGAAAATGCATTTTTTTTTTTTAGTTATGTAAGTACATACACAATAGCCTCCATTTCACATCCTGGCCCAAAAATTGGAGATTACTTTCTGGGTTTTCTCAGAAAAATCTGAATGAGCCCTTGGCCCACAGCAGGGGTTGTGACTCAGTTGCCCAAAAAACCATTCCTGCAAAGACCACCCCAGGCTTAAGCAGAACAGGAAGTGGGGAGGGAGGCAAAACTGCCCAAGGCACCCAAGGACCATTGTTGTTGTTGTTGTTAATATCTGAGCGTCCCAGGCTGGCCTCCAGATGGCGCCCATCAGGATCCAGCGGGGACCTGCCAGAAGGCAGCGGCCAGAGCTGCTCTGGCTCCCATGAACCTGTCACTTCCCTTCTGCACCGGGCTCTGGGATGTGGCCTGGGCCAGGGGCAGAAATCAAACTGTTCTGTACCACAGGAAAGACAGGAGGAGTCAAGCGGAGGGGTGCAGAGGGAGGAGCCACTGGGAAGCAAGGAGAGCTTGGATGCCAATCACAGCCCTTGTGTCTGAGCTGACCCTGGCCCGTGTACACCTGCTCTCTGCTTGTCCCACCGGCCTCCACTCTGTCCCGTCTCATTTTCGTTTCTGTGGTTTTGGCTCCAGTGCCTCAAGGGGTCTTGTCCCTGGTGACACCTGCTTCCTCTCTGCCCCTCACTCCGACCCTGCAGCCTGCTCCTTGCTCCCCTCCCCACCTGCCATCCTGGTGGAGGGTCACTTCCACCTCTTTCTGCAGCACCGGTCCACTTCCTTGGAGCCTGGGTCTCCTTGCGGATTTGTCTCCTCACACTTCGGCTGCTGCTCATGGTCAAAGTTAAAGAGAAGCCTCGTCCCTGATTTTCTTAGGGTAGCTTTCCCACCATCTTCCATCTCTCTGTGGGCTAAATTGCACCTGCCTCTCTGTCCCTTTGCGGTCACTCCGTGGGCTTGATCTGGGCCCTGCTGTGGTTGACAAGTGTCTGATGAGGAGGATGATAACGACTCCCATCCCCTCTCCACCCAACCAGACCTTCCTCCAGCTATCAGCATGGCTTGCTCCGTCACCTCATTCAGGGTGTCCGAACGCCACTCCCCAGCGTAGCCCTCCAATATCCCTCCCTGTCCTCATGCGCACGCATCCCCTGACTTTGTGCATGTTTCATGATCCCCTGCCGGGAGGTAGTTTCTCCTTGGAGAGGACCTGTCCCTCATTTGGCCTCTTGGTCATTCCCAATGCCACGTGACAGGTACTGCATGCCCCTGTGTCCAGTGCATATCCATGTACCAGCTCCAGGCAGTGCCCTGTTTGGAGTTCTGTGTACGCATGGGCCTGTCTCTTGCTACCAAAACCCTTGGAGGGGGGTGGTTGGGGATTGCTGTGACCCCATTTCTTAGAGGAGGTGAATGAGGTCCAGAGAGGGAGTCCCTGACCCCAGGCATGCAGTCGGTGGGCAGCCGAACTGGGATCAGATCTAGAGAGCTCGTGCTTATAGCCACTCCCGTGCCGTGCCACAGCCCTCCCGCGCTTGTAGCCACTGAGTGACAGCGGGCCTGGGAGAGGGTGGATCCCACAGACAAGGGCTGGGGTTTAAAGAAACAGAGGCAAGGGGCGTGGCTAGGTGAGAAAATAATGAAAGCCCACAACACCCAACAGCTTAGGACAAGTGTGTGGTGGGCAGGATGACATGCACTCCCAATCAGTCAGTGCCCCACGAGTGGCACAGTCAGGGCCTTCCTCTGCGCCCAGCCTCACCTGCTACGTGTGGAGTCATCTGACTCTCAGACCTGCCCTGTTGTCTCTCCTGATAGAAGCTTTGCTGCCCAGAGGCTGAGGCCTGGGCCACCTGCCCTTCTTCCCTTGAATGCCCTCTCTGGGTTAGGGTTGTACTGTAAGCTGCATTTGATCCAGGAATCCCTTCAGCACCCGCACCGCGTGTGTGCACCTGTGGGCTGTGCGCTGGCATGTGCCAGCCAAGGATCCCTTGTTCGCCATGTTGGAACCAAGCAAACATTTCAGGTTTTGGAGCTTCCCTCCCCGGTGACAGGGGAAGTACTATTTGAGAAGTTTGTGATGTGTGCTTAGCATTGGGCCCAGTGTGGCGTGAATGGTGATGGACCAGCATTCATGTCACAACATGCCAGGCACCAGGTTGGACCCTGGGGATGCACCTGCCAGATATACAGGGGTCCAAGCCTCCCACGTCCCTCAGGCATGGTTCCCAGGGGAACTCTGCTGTGCCACGTGTCCCCGAGGGAGTGTGGCTCAGAGAGGCCAGGCCACTTTTCAGGGGCACAGCTCAGGAGGTCTGGCTCTGGCATGAGTTCACAGTCACAGGATGAGTCGCTGCCCTTGCATCACACTGGCCCACCACCTGCCTTTATAAATAAAGCTTTCTTGGGACACCACAATGGCCCTTGTTTCTGGGTCATGTCCCTCCTTTTGCCCTCTCTGCATACACTCAAAACCAAAGAAATCCTTTAACTGGCAAATGAGATGCAAATGAGTAGAGGCCAGTGGAGGGCTTCAGTTGTCCAACATGCGCAATGCCTGGTTCCAGAACCTTCTCACCTGCTGGTAGGAGCTGTGGGCATGACTTTGACCCTGAGTTGAGCATGTGTGAAGGTCTCCCCAAGCTCCAAAAGCCAATGTTGGCAGGTAGGCCTTGACTTCCTGGGGCCGTGAGAGTGCCCCTCTCCCATCAATGGCGCTATCACCTGGTGATCCCCTTACCCTGGGCTGGGCGGCCTTGACTGGGTGTCGGGTCTCCCTCTCTGCTCAGCTCCCAACACGGAGATGGAGCCGCTGCTGACCTGGAAGAAGGCGCAGGAGACCGTGCCCTGGAACATCATCCTACTGCTGGGTGGCGGCTTCGCCATGGCCAAAGGCTGCGAGGTAAGAGCCGCTGGCGCTGAGGGAGCCACAGGCAGGCCCGGGCCTCAGCCAGTATGGAGGTCAGGACCCCCCACGTGCCAGCCTCCTTGGGTGCCAGGTGGGGACAGCCCCCTTTCTGGAGGCCCACGCTCCACTTGTGCATCCTATGTCCTCAGCGCCTGACTGTAGGGAAGGGTCGTGTGCTGAGGTCATGCAGTCCTGTAGCTAGTTTGGTTCTGAGTCCGTGTTCCTGGCCCTGTGACACGAAGGTGGCACACTGGGGCTGTGCATTCACATGATTGCCAGTATAAACCCGGAGGGAGCTCTGGGCTCCGTGGTGGGGCAGGGATGCGGCAGGCCGACACTGCTGACCCTGCCCCGCCTCATCATTCACCTGCATCATGATGCGTCATCTCATCTAATCCTCACATGACCCACCAGAGCAGGGCGCTGGTACCCATTTCACAGGTAGGAAGACTGAGGCCTGAGCCAATCCAGCAGTGCTCTTGAGGTGCCCGACTCAGGGCCATCTCTGACATTTGAGTCCAGGTTCCTTGAAGTTCACCTTGGAGGATGCTGACCCAAAGGAGTCTACCACCTCCCCCCATACCAATGCAGCTGCCCACACTGTCCCAGCTTCAGAGCATAGGATATGGAGACAGAGGAGAGAGCTAGCCCAGTGCCACTCACGCCACCAGAAGTCAGGAGACCCGGAACCTGAGCCAGAGCTCATGGCACTGGTCTCCAGCCACTCCAAAACCTCCCTACGGTAAACCCAGGCATGTCAGGTTACAGCCAGCGGAGGGCCGATGGGAGAGCAAGGACTGGGGGGTCTGAAAGTACTTCTCTTACTGATTTATCTTGCTAATGCTCTCTGGTGGCCAGCTGCAGGCACAATTGCAATGTCACCTTAATGTAACCGTGCCAACCACAGAGACTGTGTGATGCCCGCGATGCCAGGGGCAGGGATCTGGGCTCCTCGCTGGGGCACCTGGGCAGCTTCTCTGTGAACCGAGGACTGAGCAGGGGGGTGACCATAGCAAACAAGAAGCACTAAAAACACCACAAACATGACAGCCTAAGGTAGAAATGAGCCAGCAGCAACTGTTGGGTTGTGACCTGGGGTCACCATGGTGGCATGGAGAAGAGGAGGAGCAGGGCAGAGGGAGAAGGGGGCCTCCAGGAGCCCCGGGGGCACTGCAGCCGAGTTGGCCCTGACCCTCCCAGGCCAGCGGCGTCAGTCCATCTGTCAGTTGCTCTCTGAGCAGCTGAAAGGGCCTGACACCAAAGCCTCTGCCAGGGGCGAGCTGGGCGACCATTCAGCTCTGCGGACAGACACACTTTTCATAGGAAGTGTGTTTTAAAACAGTGTGGCCAAGAGCGCAGACGTGAAGGCAGTGGAGGAGAGATGGCCGGAGTACCCCTTTTTGTGTCAAGGACTCTGGCCCAGAGAGGCTCAGTGACATTCCAGGCAGCACAGCGTGTAAGCTGCAGAGGCATCATTGGAGTTCTGACCTTGCAGGCTGCTGCCTCTGACTGGGAGCAGAGCAGGGAAGACTTCCTGGAGGTAGTGTCTGTTCTCAAGTCAAAGAGGCCGAGCAAGCCAGTGGAACAGGACATCTAAGGTGGAATCCAGACCTCTCTGGGCCTCATGTTGCACACCTGTGACACGGGAATGGCAGCGGCCCCTCCGGGCAGACTTGTCAAACCAGTGTATGGGTGCATGGAGGTCCCAGTTCCACACGGGGTTATGACTGCATGTTGGGGACATGGAAAATCAGCACCAAGAATGACATGTAGGGTCACAGCCCAGGCAACTCTTTGCAAATGGTCCGAGGTCGGGGAGGGAAGGGTGGGTCCAGCTGCTGTCATTAGGGGCTGGGCTGCAGGGCCACCAACCATGCTGGGAGGCAGCCTGGCTCTCAACCCAGCCTGGGGTGGCCAGCTGGGCCACCGCTGGGTCCAGCCTCTCGGGGTCATCTCCTGCCCAGGCAGCCGACCAGGATGCTCACAGCAGTCTGGTGCCCGGCCCGTGCCAGGACTCAGCAGCCTTCCTGTAGTCCAGGTGCTTGTACGAGGCTCCCCGGTTGGTCCCGGGCACTGGAAGTCCAGCTCTGTGCCTACTGAAGCCCTTGGGTCCTCCTGCCATGGGGCCCTCTACTCACAACACCCACGCCCTTCACTCTGATCCGGAGGCTTCTGTGGGCCTGCACACACAGCCACGCTCAGCTGAGCCCCTGCCAACCTTCATGACCACGGGCCCTTTGTGATTCCTCAGCAAGCTCACTTGTAGCCCAGGACCCTGGCAGCTGCCCGTCAGCTCTTCCCGGGGCTCCCTGAGTGCTCACTCTACAGATCTCAGCTCTTCAGCGCCAGCGGGCCAGAGGCTGCCCAACCCCAACCCCGTCATTGTCCACCCAGTTCAGCCCCTTCACTCCACATTGGCCTCCCCTCCCCCACGGCACTCCCCTGCATCTGTGTATCGATTGTCAGGGAGCCCCACTGTCTTTTCCACGAGAGTTTCAACCCCCGGAAGAGTCCTGGGGCATAGTGGCACTTCAGAGACACCTGTTGGCATGACCCAGGGGTGGGCAGTGTGGGGCACGTGTGACAGCTAGCAGGTGCTGCAGCTGGGAGCTGCTTTGCCTCCACCTTGCACCTGCTAGGTATTCTGCCATGAATCGGATCAAAGGCCGGTCCGATGCTGTTGCCCTCCAATTGACGCAGGGTGCTGTGCAGGGTCCTCCAGCCCCACCACAGGCTTACCTCTACGCCTGCGCACTGAGCCCATTGGTGCTCCTTATCCAGGCAGAGTGGGTGGATCCGACCTGGAGGGCACAGTGTAGCTCCGCCAGTGAGCGCACCTTGTCGCCACTGCTGGGCTGGGGGCGCCTAGTGATGTGGTCCAGCCGCAGGTCCCCACAGCAGCAGGACAAAGTCAGAAGACTCTTTGGGGGAGATTTGGCAAGTTGCTGGGCTCTCTGTGCCCCTTCTCCAGCCACCACCCACCACTGCCCCTTCGCAGCGCGACACCGAGGAAGGAGAAATCTGTGAATGCCATGAGGGCCTTAGAGGGGGTCCCAGCACAGAACAAATGCATACCAGGTTGAGTTTACCTTGAAGAAACTAGGAAATCAGACCAAATGCTGACACCTCAAGGCAGTCTCTTAGAAATGTCAAGGAACAGAGAAGTTCATTATTGTGTCCAAGGTTGCACAGCTTGTGTGGGTTTGAGTGCTCACCTGTGATCCTAAAGCATTTTCCTCTCCCTTAGCCAGTCCGCCTGTCGTCCGCCCCGAAGACAGTTGTACGGCGGCGCCCACACAGCCCAGCGTCCCCCACCCCATGCTACATGTGTGTGTCCCCAGAGGGAGTTCTCAGGGCGTTTTGGCCACAGCAGATTGTCATTTCAGAAGCAGACCTGACCCTACAATGTAACAAAGCAGCAGGGATGTGGGAGGGGAGGGAGAGGTAGGGGGAGCTTGCTGCCTCCTCTCCCTGTGCTTCCAATTCTCCACCTCCCTGCCTGCTGTTCCCACCCCCAACCGTCCCGGTGCTCCACAGCCAACGCTTCCATAGGATGCGAGTGTGTTGTCAGAGCCTCTGCCTCTGGCATCCTGCTGGGCCCTGATGCTGCGCCTTGCAGTTGGCACATGCTGGGCACACAGCAGGAGCTCAGCTGTGTTTCTAGATACCTTGTGGGTTAGTGTCCCTCCCTCGGCAAGGGGAGGGGGTTACTGGTCAGGATGCAGAGGCAATGTGAGAGCCACCAGCCCAGCTCGGGGTAACAAGGTGAGAAGGGATTAAGCCTGACACCAGAGCCCTTCCTCAGCCACACATGCTGCCCTGACCTTGGCTGTGACTGGTCCCGAGCCTCCCTGGGAACTTCCAGAGGCTGTGTGCTCACAAGGAGACTTCTGATGTCTCCCAGAAATAGGAAAGAACAGATTTAGTGTCTTCAATGGGACCCCCGGGGGCTGGGCTGTTCTTGGTAAAACCCAGAGTCTCCCACCCAGGGGCTGCCAAGCCCATGCCCCCAGTGACTTCCGGGCCAAGGAGGGAGGCGCGGCACACCGAGGCCCAGCAACAGGACCACAGGGAACTGGCAGCAGTGGGGAGCTGCCCTGCAGTGCCACCCTGCTTGCCAGGCATCCTGGGGGGAGGGGAGCAGGCGACACCTCTACAGTAGCATGCATTACATTTCACCATCGAATCTCAGGTTGATAAACAGATCCTGGTTTATGCTTTAGGGGACTCGGGCCATCCTGCACTAGATCAGCGCTTGAACATTTGCTATCCTTGTTTTTGTTGTTGTTGTTGTTGTTTTAAGGGGGGAGCAATTATAGAATACGCCACCAGGGGGGCAGCATGGCGGCTAGAGATGTGACACCCTCAGTTTAACTGTTGGGACAGGGACCTGAAGGGCGCCCCTGGTGGCAGAAGTGTAGACATGGGGGACTCTGTAATGTCAACGAAGGGCTACAGTTAACAAAGACAGCTCCTGCTAGTTCTGCAGCGTCTCTGTCCTGGTTGAGTGTCCTGCCTGTCCCTGTAGTGGAGAGTTGAGGTGGGCTCCGGGCTCAGAGGAGGGCAGCCAGGAGCCCATGCATGGGAGGCACGCGGGACTGTTCAAGCTGACGCGGGTCTCAGCCGTTGCTTTGGGGGCCTCGGGAATGTCATAGAGACATCCCCAGGTCCAGCGCCTCCTCGATGAGAGGGTACCAACTGATGTGCCACACACAGGATGGCTGGAGGGAGAAAGCGGGGTGACGTGGGCAGGCGTCTGGCCCCAGGAGGCCTCAGGAAGGGACGCTCTCATGACCATAGCTGATAGTCAGTAGTGGTAACATTGGCATTACTCCTTGACAAGTCATCAGTAATTTTTTGTTAATGTCCCAGTGATGCATAACTGATACGTGTTTTCTGTTGAGTATGAGATACTGTATGTAAAATGCACGGGGATCTATCCTATGATGTTGAGTGTGTTTATAACTGCAGATTTTCTACAGGGGCAACTCCCCCGACCCACACAAGCAGAGCTGCAGGGTGCTAAAGCCAGGGGCTGCCGCGGGGGCGGGAGCGTTGTGAGGACCCTGAGTATGTGCGCCCGACCTGCTCCTTGGCCCCTGGGGACACCATGCGAAGGAGGGCAGCTGTGCCCGTGGGCTCAGCATCCAACTGTCCCCCCAACCCGGCACCAGCAGGCATCTGGAGCTGGGCTGGGCTGTGAAGGGTCAACCCTCCTCTCCGCAGGAGTCGGGGTTGTCGGTGTGGATTGGGGGGCAGCTGCACCCCCTGGAGAACGTGCCCCCCGTCCTGGCTGTACTTCTCGTCACCGTGGTCATCGCCTTCTTCACCGAGTTCGCCAGTAACACGGCCACCATCATCATCTTCCTGCCTGTCCTGGCAGAGCTGGTGAGAGTCCCTGGGCGGGGAGGGGTTGGACCACTCCCCGGGGACCCAGGACCAGAGACTCCTCCCCGGGGGCCGGGGCTGCACCTCCCCCACACACTTCCCAGATGTGCCAAGTGTCAGGACTACTGTGCAGTGTTTTTCTTAAATGCTTGGTTTGTTTCTTTATAGACATATTTGTTCTTATTGGAAAGGCAGATTTACAGAGAGGAGAAACAGGGAGGAAGATCCTCCATCTGCAGGTTCACTCCCCAGGTGGCCACAATGGCTGGAACTGAATTGACCCAAAGCAAGGAGCCTTGTCTGAGTCTCCCAAGCAAGTGCAGGGTCCCAAGGCTTTGGGCCATCCTGTATGCTTTCCAAGGCCACTGGCAAAGAACAAGATGAGAAATAGAACCACCAAGACACGAACTGGTGGCCATATGGGTACATCCGCTTGCAGCAGAGAATTAACCAACTGAGCCATAATGGTGGCTTCTGGGTTTGTCTCTTTAAGAAACACTCAACAGGGCCCAGCACGGTAGCTTAGCAACTAAAGTCCTCATCCCATATGGGCACCAGTTCTAATCCTGACAGCCCTACTTCCCATCCAGCTCCCTGCTGTGGCAATTGAGGATGGTCCAAAGCTTTGGGACCCTGTATCCATGTGGGAGACCCAGAAGAGGCTCCTGGTTCCTGGCTTCAGATCAGCTTAGCTCCAGCCATTGTGGCTACTTGGGGAGTCAATCAACATATGGAAGATCTTCTCTTTCCTCCTTCCCGTATATCTGACTTTCCAGTAAAAATAAATCTAAAAAAGAAAGAAAAGAAAAAGAAACACATGGACAGAGAGTAAGTCTTCTGAAAATTCACCGCTGGTGATCAGCAGTTAGACTTTTCTAGCAAAACAGGGATCATCAAGCTTGGACAGGAGCAGAACAAAGCACGGGAGAGGTCCCAGGGTGGGCAGAACACAGTCCCTCTCAGACAGGTACTGGGCACTGGTGACATCTGGGGCCACAGCTCCTTGAGGCCGGGGCATTCTTGCCTTGTAGGGTGCTCAACAGCCCCCACACGGTGACCTGTAGCACTGAAGCGCCCCCACAGGGTGACCTGTAGCACTGAAGCCAGGAGTGCCCCCACATGGTGACAATCAAAATGCCTCCCCAGGAGCAACTGGGCTTGATGGAGAACCACACCCCCCCACATCAGCCCAGGTGAGGGTGAGGAAACCTCTAAGGGATAGAGGGCACCCCCCCTTTACCCAAAGTTTCCCCAGGCACAAAGAGAGACAACTGTCAATCACTGGATGAGGTCAACAACATCAGCAGAAGGAAAGCAAAGGAAGAGAATGAGTTCAAAGTCACCTGTGAACACCAGTGCCAATAGCAGAGGGAGCCCAGGGCTGCGGGGTCCAGGGCTGCAGGGGTCCAGGGCTGCGGGGGCCCAGGGCTGTGGGGGCACAGGGCGTGGAGGTCCAGGGCTGCGGGGGTCCAGGGCTGCGGGGGCCCAGGGCTGTGGGGGCCCAGGGCTGCGGGGGCACAGGGCGTGGAGGTCCAGGGCTGCGGGGGCCCAGGGCTGCGGGGGCACAGGGCGTGGAGGTCCAGGGCTGCGGGGGCCCAGGGCTGTGGGGGCACAGGGCGTGGAGGTCCAGGGCTGCGGGGGTCCAGGGCTGTGAGAGGCGAAGGATGTGTCACAATCAAGTAGATTTTATCCCAAGAAGTTTATGAATTTTCCGTACAGCATTACACTTGATCAGATTGGAGACAGCCAAAACCTCTGGTGATTTTAATGTAACCCCTCACCTTGGTAGACCCGAGTCAGCGGTACAAGTGTGCATTTCATGATCCCACGGGACATCCCCCTCTGCTTGCTTACGCATTGGCAGTGTGCAGAGATGGCATGGCTGGCATACGTGCAAATGCCATCTGATGCTTTGTCAGTCACTGGGGAACATTCTCTCGTACGTTGCGGCTGACCGGCCCGGCTGTGTGGATTTGCACAAGGCCTGCAGGCGCCTCGGGAGCAGGTGCACGTCAGGGATCAAATCATGGCTAATAGAATAGCAGCGTGGCCCTGGAATGTCGCTAACCAGATGATTCTCTCTGTCCCCTCTGGGTCCTGCTCCTCTTCTTGCCTCACTCCCCCTCTGCGTCTCTCTATCACCCTGCCCACTTCTCTGTCTCTGTCTCTCGTGTCGTCTGTGCGCATGCCCGTGTCTGACTCGGTCGCTCTGGCTGCCCTGGGTCCAGGCCATCCGCCTGCAAGTGCACCCGCTCTACCTCATGATCCCGGGCACGGTGGGCTGCTCGTATGCCTTCATGCTCCCGGTCTCCACGCCCCCCAACTCTATCGCCTTCTCCTCCGGACACCTGTTGGTCAAGGACATGGTGAGTGTGGGCATGGCTGGCATCAGCCTGGAGGGGCCAATGGGCACTGGGTTGGGGGCCTCTTCCCGGTGGGCCCCCAGCATCCTCAGCCTTTCCCCAGTTCTGCCAACATACAGGGATAATTCTGATCAAGTTGTAGAAATTCTGACTTTGCCAAGTGGCCGCGGGGCCAACAGCCTCCCCAGTCTCTGAGTCCTAATCCTTTCTCTTCCTGCTTAGTTGGTTAACTGCTCCTTATCCAGGAATTCAAGACAAAGGAGCAGCAGGGACATCTGGCCACTGCCAGGTCCCAGCAGGGTGAGCAAGGCCAGGTATCCCCTCTCCTGACCCTGCTTGCTAGGGGTTCCTCCAGCCAGCCTCTTCCTGCCTCACTGGTCACTTAAGGAGAATCGTTCAGAGGACGCTTGGGGAACAAATGCCTAGAACTCCCCTTCGAGACAGCAGGTGCCATGAGAAGGGTGCCGGCTGTGCCAAGTCCCATAGGGGCACGAGAACCCAGCAGGATAGATGGCGGCAAAGAGCAAGAACGAGAGAAGGGGAGAGAGAGGCGCTCAGGGTAGTCAGAGGGGGCGAGGACAAAGCAGCCGACACTGGCTCATTCACTCCTATGTTCCCTGTGTGCCCCCTGTCCCAGCACAAGGAAGACAGCAGCTGGGAGGGCGAGAGGGGCGCCCTCTGCTGCCGGAAACAAATAGTGAGCAAGTTGTGCCGCCTTTACAAAGTAGTGTTAACTTCAGCCTACCAAGGGCTAAGCAGAAAAGAAAACCTGGAGAAGTGGAAGCAGAGGACAGCATGGGGGCCCTGGAGGTGTGGTGGGCACCCACCCACAAGGTTTGTGCCTTTAATAAGACAAATGAGGAGCAGCAGCCGTGTCAAGTCAGGCACCCTGGCTCCCGGGGTGGGTCTTGGCCCTCAGCAAGCTGCAAGGCCAGTGGGCGAGGAGACGAGAGTGGGGCCTGGGAAGGAAGCAGCTTCCTCCTAGTGGGGTCAAGGCTGGGCAGGGATGAGCTGACAGAGAGGCCAGAAGGGGAAAGGGGTCAGCCATGGCAGAAGGAGAAGTCCTGCCAACGGGCAGGGGCAGACTTCATCGAACCTGCAGTGGGGTGGGGTGAGCTTGGGTTCTATGACCACCAGATCACCTGCACCTGCATGACCTTGGGCAATCCAACTTCACTGAACCCGGCTTCCCTCCTCTGTAAAATGGGTCTGAATGAGATAAACTTCAGTGCAGCTGCAGTCAGGGTTAAACACCATCTTCCCATGACAGTCTCAGAGCACAGGGTCCAGTGCCCATGAGGACATCTGGGTGGTGGGCAGGGACCAGCCTGTTAGGTTATTCCACCAGCAGAGGAAGTGACCTGGAGGGCCCTGGGTCACCCTGTCTGGGTGCCACCCTGGGCCTGGGTCTCCCCATCTGGCTGCCACCCTGGGCCTGGGTCTCCCTGTCTGGGTGCCACCCTGGGCCTGGCACTATCCCCCACTCAACCGGGGCTTCTTTGCAGGTGCGCACCGGATTCCTGATGAACATCATGGGTGTCCTGCTGCTCAGTCTGGCCATGAACACCTGGGCACAGACCATCTTCCAGCTGGGCACCTTCCCAGAATGGGCCAACACCCATGTAGCCAACGCCACGGCACTGCCCACCACTTTGGCCAACAATACCTTTCGGACCCTTTGAGCTGTTCTGAGGGCAGGCATCGCCTTGGGGCCAGGCCCTTCCAGAGGGCTGTCCCCGTCCCTTGCTGCTGGGACCCTCCCAGGTGATCACGAAACTCGATCCCCTGGTCCAGCGTACAGCCAGAGGGGGATGACCTGCAGTGGGCCACTTGGGCCCACAGGCTCGTAGTGTGTGACACCTTCTCCCAGAGCTGCTGCCCGAGAAGCCAGCACCTGCAGCGGCGGGCTCTGTGTGCCCTGGAGCCTGGCAGCAGCAACAACAAGCAACTCTGGGACAGGAGGCCACCTGCGCTGGTGGGCACGGCTCACCAGGTCTCCGACTGACCACCTTAGGGTGCCTTGTGGAGAAGCCATCTGCTCTCCTCCTGGGGGGAGGTGCGGGGTGGGATGCCCCTGTGCAGCAGCTCCACCTGTCCCCACTGCTTGAACTGTATCCACTGTACACCGGCCGAGCGACTCTCCCCCACCCGCCCCCCACTCCCCTGGACAGCAAGAGTTTCCATCTGCAGAAGCTGGGCAGGGGACAAATGGCGTCCTGGGGTCACGGAGTCCCTGCCAAGCCTTGTTGCCACATCCCCGGGCTGCAACGCACGCTGGCCGACACCTCCACCCCAGTAGTTAGCATCCTCCTGTGCCACCTGCTACTGCGTGGACTGTAACAAAGGTGTCTGGTCAGGTCAGGGCCCTGCTGCATTGCAAGTGACCCAGGGCTCCTGCAGCGAGGGTCCCTCCTGCACATGGCCTTCAGAGGGGGTGCTGTCACTTGTTTCCTGTACCAGCAGTTGGCCTTCAACTCGCCCCTTGCCCTCACTCCCAGTGTGAGACGTATGCGGTCAGCAAGGGCTACATACTGAGATGCCCAGGGCTGGAGCAGGGCACACCTGCAGGGCTCGGGGCTCCAACCAGCACCACACCTGGCCCAGCAGGGAAGTCACCAGGATCTGGAAGGCACCTGTTGAGCCCCTTGTCACCCCCCATGCCTCCTCCCTTGGCCCCTGGGAAGAAATTCAAGCTGAAATTCCTTGAGCAGGTGGGCACAGTGGGGCGGGGGGCAGAAGGCAGCACCCCGGGGAGAACAAAGCCAAGGCCCCAGGGGACTGGAGGAGCCGTGTCTTGGGTATGGGAGCAAAGCCGCCTTGGCCCCACTTCCTGTTGGGTCATAGCATTCTCGTGTGCCCCTGGGGCGGGGGTGGGGGGTGGGGGGGAGGGAGTATTCGCTCGCAGAGGAAGCCACGGGGCCTGCACCCAGCTGAATCGTGATTGCACACTTGTGATCCAAGATGCCCCGAAATAAAGATTATTGATCAACCTTGGCCCTGGAGAATACTCACTTCAAAGCTCCCCCCCAAGCTCCTGGGCTGTAACTTCACACTGCTCCCCCCACCCCCACACCAGGCGCATCCCCAAGCCCTCAGCTAGGGCCTCTGCGCATGCCTCGCCTGCTGCCCAGAACTGACTCGCACCTGCGGTCTGTTGGCTCGCTAGGAGTGGCTTCCACAGGCATCCTCCCAAAGCATCCCCCCCTTACTCTCCAGCCCCCGTATGTCGCTCTGTCCGTAGGCCTCGGGGGTCCTTGATTTTCCGAGTTGTCTTCCTTCTCTCTCTCTAGAATCTATGCTTATGCAAACACAAATGATATTTGTAAGTCCAGGACCTAGAACAACCCTGGGCACGGGGCAGATGCACAGAGAAGCAGTCTGGCTGAGCTCTGTAGGGCCCAGGTCCTTGCTCCCTTCATCCCTTCATCTAAAAACCTGCTCCCTGCCGGTCACCGTCCCCACCCACATGCAGCAGACATTCTCACAGCAGACACAGGGCCGTGGGTGGGAAGTGGGCAAACACTAACTCTGAGTCAGTTGCAGGCTGTAAGAGGGCCCAACCAAGCCATGGGATCTGATGATTCAGAGGCTAGCCCGAGGTGTGGTCAGGAGGGACTCCCCGGAGGAGGCGGTCCTGGGCAGCGTGGGTGGCCAGCAGGGGTAGGCATGGGTCTATGGGGAGCCTCTTGGGAAGCAGCAGCCCTTACCCTCCCCGAGCCCTGACCTGACTGGTGTGTAGGTGTTCTGCTCAGTCCTGGGGCCTGGAGGACTTTGTTCTCAGGGAAGATCGGTGGGCGTGAGGCAGGAGCAGCCCGGTGGGGCACTCCTGGAAGCCAGAAGGGAGGGAGACACCAGCAGAGGGGCAGGAGTGCAGGTGTCTGCAGCGAGGGAGGCCTGTCTGTCACATCCACAGCCATGGTCAAGTTTAACGTATGGATTACCCACAGAGGAGATGAACAACAGTGGATCACAAAATGGAACAAGATGCGGAATAAAAAGCTGCTTAGAACTCATCATTGTCGGCTTCCAGAAATGTTCACGTACTACTTTCAGATCTGGGTGAACACCACAGGAGTGACACTGTGAGTGAGCAAGTTGGCGTCTGCCGCTCACGGAAAGCGAAAGAGAAAGAGCCCGAGCTGGGCACTGGGCTTGTGCAATCGCAGACACTTGCTGGGTCCCAGGGTTTGCAGGGCAGAGGCTGGCAGGCTGGAGGCTCAGGGCTGGGCTGGGCTCGGGTCAGCGAGGGGGAGAGTCGGCCTTCCGTCACCCCTGGCTGCCAGCCGATGGGTTGAGCCCCACACCTCAGGACGCTGCCTAGTTCCACTTCCTCTTCCTCTCGGGTCGCATGGTTCTGAGTCTGGTCACCCAGGAATCCCCCTCAGCCGGCTTCTCTGATGCGGCATGATTCAGAAGCTCCTTTGAGGGCTGCCTGGCCTTGTATGGGCAGAGAAAACTCTCCTGTGTGCTGGGACACAGGGCAGCACGGCCTAGGGACATCTCAGGGGGCCTGGGTCATCCACTCTGAACAGTCACTTGGGCAGTGCTGACGGCCCAGCGGGGTGGACTTCCATCTGTTGCCTTACTGAACACTGCAGACACTGTCTCCTGAAACTCCCCCAAAGAGCCCTAAAAGCAGACATCATGTTCTTGCCCTGATGGCTTAGGCTGCACAGGTTCAGAAAGGGACAGTATCTTGCCTGAAGTCACACAGCACAGCAGGCGGCAAAGCTGACACTGGAGTGCAGGTCCACTGCCTCCAGCCATGGCCACTGCAGTTCTGGGGAACAGCCAGACCAGCCCTTGCTGGCACAGAGGCCTTGCTGGCTCCAGAGGCGAGTCTTTAGCCCAGAACCCATGTCACACTCCTCCGGCTCCTGACTGCGACTTCCTGTCGATGGAGACCCTGGGAGGTAGCAGGTAATGGCTCAAGTTGCTGGGACCCTGACATCCTGTGGGCAACTCAGGCCAAGTTCCAGGCTCCTGGCTCCAGTCCAGTCCCGCCCAGACTTCCCGGGCCTGTGGGGAGTGACCCAGCGGGTGGAAGTGTTCTTTCTCCCCGTCCTTCAATGCTTCCAAATAAATGTAAACATCAAACACTGGCTTTAAAAACTTGAATATTCTACATTAAAAGGGAAAACAGCTACCGTCTTTGGAGACCCTGGAGGACTCCGTAACATGGGGCCAGGGCCGAGGGGCAGTGTCCAGCAGCCTGCGGAGGTGCCCACTGGCCCTACGGTTTCATTGCCTTGGCAGGCGGGTTTCGCAGGCAGCTGCCACCTGCTCCGTTGTGGGCCTGATTTCTAGTTCCAGGTGACGCCTGGAGGCCTGGGAAGCCTAAGTTACATGTCCTGATGAGGTGGGATGCCAGGAGTCTGGAGTGCCACTTGATGTGTGCCCTCCCTGGTCCAGAGGCCAAGGGAGATCTTGTGGGAGGGGAAAGCCCGTGGGCAGTGCTAGGATGCAGAGATGCTGGGGAGGAGGGGCTGCTGTCCAGGACAGCGGATACGTCCTTCTGCAGCGCCTCCTGTGCCATGGCAGGTGCATCTGAGGGAAGGTCTGTGAGTGTTCCCCTCCCACGCTGAGCAGAGGGCCTCAGGGGTTACCCGGTGTCCCCTGGAACAAGACTGGGACATGGCTGTGCCACTTACCAGGGCAGGGGCTAGGCGGGAGGCTCCACCCTCTGGCTTGGTTTTCTAGGTTGCAGAAGGCACGCTGGAGGAAAGGATTCTGTGACTCCCATAGCAACCTGGTTGTATACCATAAGTGCTCAATAAATGCTCACGGCCATCGTCGCTGATCTGTAGATAAGTTGTAGATTGGGATTTTATTTGAAAGACAGGAGGCTGGGTGGAGGGCACAGGGTTTGGGGATCTGTCACCAGAGATGAGTGGAGGAGAGATTCTTTTCTCTATGTGCAAGAATGAGTCAAGGAGAGAGCGTGCCTGGGGTAGGGCATCTGGCAGACCGTCAGAATGAGGGGCCGCTCTCCAGTGGGGAGACCAAGCACTTCCAACCATTCAGACAGGGGCAAGCAAGGTTGCCCGGTTTCGTGGAGAGAACACACACCTGGCAGGGCCGAGGGCACCTTGCTTGCTGGGGGACCCTGGCCCCCTGTAAGAGCATCAGATCCGGCCAGGTCTTTGCAGCGCAAAAGGCCGGCAGGCATCCCAACCCAGGTGTGGCTCCTAGGCGGCTCTGGTCCTTCCCACAGGGCCCTTCTGGTCCTACTCACCACCCGCCTTGTGTCAACATGGAAGATACAGACTGGCAGCTGAGGCCCCCTGGCCAAGCGGTTGGGACAGGGCTGTCCCGGGAAGACAGATCCACCTCCAGCTAAAGAACAGGAAACCAGCTGGGAAGAGAAGCCTGAGCTACGGCCCCCACACCCTGTGGTCAGGGGTCAGGAGCCAGGAGCCAGGGGTCAGGGGTCAGGCTCCCTGGGGGCACAGAGCTTGGAGCAGAAGATCAGGACAGCAGCCCCACAGGACTACCACTGAGCTCACAGGCTCTTGGGCATCAGTTGTCCGCTCCATACAATGGGTGAAGTCTCCCTCCCTGCGAACACAATTGAGAAAGGTTGCTTGGAAAAAGCTCTTTCCTCCCACACCTTCCTCCTGGGAAAGGAGGCAGCTTGCTCAACCCTCTGGGAGGTGGCCCCACGCTGGGCGGGACAGGCAGTCAGCACAGCTCCATTAAAGGACAGAAAGCCAGAAGTGACAAGCAGGGAAGTCCCAGGTCTCCACCCGCCCAAACCCCCAACACACACACACACATGCACACACACCTTGCCACTTCTCCAACTGCTGCAGCCGCCGGAGCCCACCTGCCTGGAGTCACTGCTACTCCAGGGCCATGAGGACTGCGTGGGGTGTGGCTGAGCGCCTCGTCAGGACCGGGTAGGTCTGGGTGAGGGAGGTACTAGGGTACCAAGGGCCACAGGTGAGAGATGAGCCGTGTGTGTGGCCTTGGCTCATCCTCACCTCTCCCAGCCTCACTTTCCACACCTGTGAAATGGGAGTACCAGTCCCCTCTCGTGAGAAGTGAATGAGAAAACGCTCGCACGGGGCCGTGCTTGGCGCTCAGCCCCCCGGGGAAGCGGCTGCTCTGGTCATTCAGTGGCCAGGCAAGAACCTGCCCCCTAACAAGATGCAGGACTGACTCATGCTTCTCGAAGTCGTTTCTATTCTGTTCTGTCAGCTCCCTTGTTGCACTCACTGTGCAACAGGAGTTCAGCCCCAAACTCATATGCTGCGGGAGGCAGGAAGGAAAGGTTTTATGTGAGGACCCAGGGGCACGCACGCAGACCCTCCCAGTCTTGAAGGAGCAGTGGGAACCCAGCTCTGACTGCCTGTGAAGAAGTGAGACCTTGTACTCAGATTTCAAGTTTTTCTCACATTTCTCAAGGGAACTTGGGTTTCAGTGTGAAGCTTCCTTATTTTCAAGTGGAGAAAGGTCGCACGCACACGCACACATGCACGCACACACACGCACGCACACACACGCACACACACACGCACGCACACACACGCACGCACGCACACACAGGCACAGCAAACCAAAGCGCACTGGGTCCAGCATTGGGGGCCCCTACATCTGTGAAGCATGGCTTCTCCACGTGCCCCAAGCCCTCCCCAAAGCCCTGCCCCTGCTGAGCCAGCCATTGCTGGGGATCTTGCACAACCTGTGCTCTCACCACAACTGCCCAAACCGCTTTCCTTAGCACAGAACTTCTATGTATCCTGCCATTCTCAATCCCAATGTTATCTCTTCCAGGAAGCCCTCCATGTATTCTCAGACAAGATGTCACTCCCGAGTCCAGGCCCATACGTGCCGTTCTCCCCAGGGAGGCTGGGAGCTACATCAGGGTGGGTGGGGGACAGGACTTGAGTCATCTTGGTATCACAGGGGTCAGCAGGGAGCCCAGGAATGGGGACATCCCTGTCACTGATTTCCAAAGCCATGGTCTCTGCCATCATGCTGCGAGTGCAGAGCTCACGGCTCTGAATCGGCACCTGCGGGCTCACGCGGGGATCCTCACGGTCATCTGAGGGTTTCTCCCTCTCCTGCACCCCACGTACCCCACCCACCCCACCCACCTGAAGGTTCCTAACAGGGCCTTGAGCCCAGCTCTGAGAAAGTAGTGATTGCTGTGTGATTGTTCCGTCTCCCCAGTGGCTGATCCTCAACACCTGCTCACACAAACTACATGAAAGACCTCAGCCAAAGATGCGAGACCAACTGGTCTACCCCCGCTACCCTACAATCACAGAGGTCTGCAGTCATGAATCAAGATCATGGATTCCACTGAAATAGTTCCACACCCTCCTTGTATCTATGCTTCTGATTCTTTCCTTCTCTTAGTCCTGCTGCTCTCATGGGGCTGTAGCTACGTATTCCAACACTATCCTTAGGAACTGCTTGGAAATGGGGCTCTGGCAGGGACAACTCCAGGGAAAACAAAACCCTGGGGAAGGCTCTGATTGGCTCCCTTATGTCACATGAGTATGGAATAGCTGGCTCTGATTGGTCTACCTGGGAAATGTGCCTGCCCTTTGGCTGAAAGGGCAGAGTTTGTGGGCAGACACCATCTGCCCCACCTCCTGACGGGTGATCTCCTTGCGTGCAGGTGCAGATTCTGGCTCTTGGGACTCTGCAAGGTCCTCGCCCCACTGCAAGCTGCCTGGGATGCCTTCTCCCGGCCTGTTCCAGCCAGCTGTGGCCAGCTGCTGACCCAGCTCCTCCTGTGTTGCTCCCTCGCTGTGGCTGTCGCTGGTCTGGCCCATCACTGGCTAGTGACCTTGTTGTTTTACCCTGTGAGACCCTCAGCTATTGTGGCTACTGTGTGTGGCCTCCTGATTTTCCTGATCTTGAGTCTGCTACACCCAGTCCGCTGCCTGTTTGCTCTCGGTATACCCACACTTGGCACAGAGCAGGGCCGCCGGCTGCTCTTGTCCTACAGTGCAGCCACCCTGGCCACTGCTGTGGTGCCAAATGTCTTGGCCAACGTGGGTGCAGTTGGGCAGGTGTTAAGGTGCATCACTGAGGGCTCCCTGGAGAGTCTGCTCAATACCACCTACCAGCTGCATGTAGCATCCAAGGACCTGGGCTCTGTGGGTCACGCGGACAGCCGGGGCCTGACCTTGGAGGTCCAGGGCAGGGACTCTGTCTTCTGGCTTCACGTGCTCAGGGTCACTCAGCAACTCCTGGATGACTTCTCTGGCCTCGAGTCCCTGGCCCGCAGGATAACGCTGGGGATCCAGCGGGCAGTCACCGGGCTGTTCGTTCTCGGCCTTCTGGTGGACTCAGCCTGGTATCTCCATCATTACCTGACTGACCTGCGGTTCGACAACATCTACGCCACCCGGCAGCTGACTCGCCAGCTGGCACAGACCGGGGCCATGCACCTGCTAAGCCCTGCACCCAGCTGGCTGCTGTGGGCCGTGAGACCGAAGTTGTCACAGGAGGAACTACTGCGCTGTGTTCTGAGGCTGGGACTCCTCGCCCTGCTCCTGGTGGCTACAGCCGTGACGGTGGCCACCGACTATGTGGCCTTCCTCCTGGCACAGGTGGCTGTGGAATGGGCCCAGAAATTGCCCCCTGTGCCCATCACACTCTCAGTCAACTACGATGTAAGTGTTGCGAAGGGAGGCTCAGGATCGAGGCATCGCTTGGCGGAGAGGGGTGGGGTTTGTTGAATCCTGGGATATGGATTGTACAAGTTCACTAATTTCCAGAACAGCCCTGTGCTTTTATTATTTATTTATTTATTTATTTAAAGATTTAATTATTTTTAATGGAAAGGCAGATTTACAGAGAAAGACAGAGGAAACTCTTCCAACTGCTGGTTCACTCCTCAAATGGCCACAGTGGTCAGAACTGAGCTAATCCAAAGCCAGAAGCCTCTTTCAGGTCTCCCATGCAGGTGCAGGGTCCCGAGGCTTTGGGCCGTCCTTGACTGCTTCCCCAGGCCACAAGGAGGGAGCTGGATAGTAGCAGAGCAGCCAGGACACGAACCAGTGCTCATATGAGATGCTAGTGCTTGCTAGGTTAGGATTAGCTGCTTGTGCCAACATGCCAGGCTCACAGCCCTGGGCTTTTTCCCCCCTACTGCTGGTGGGGATGCTTAAGTCACTCCCTACTCAAGGGGCATCTTCCTAACCTCACATTCCTCATTACTACACATTAGCCCAATTCTTCTTACCCCAAGAGGCTCTGATGGGTCTCAAAATGGGATGGGATCTCTAAAATGTGAAAAATGACACACGGTAACACGCGGTGGCCGTTCCTAATGGCCCCCGTCTGTACCTGTCAGGCTGTAAGAGACCTAGACATGGTCTCCACCACGATTCAGCCGCCTTTGACCCTCCGCTGACTCCCTGGCTTTGTAAATAAAGTTTTATTGCAACACAGCCTTACCGTTTATGTATTGTTCGTGGCACCTCTATAAGGGCAACAGAGACTGTGTCCCACCCCTGTAATTCTAAAAGGGTCATCATTTTAATAATAATACAATAAAAATATTTGCTGCTTTAATTCTGGATGTATCTACTCACAGAGCAACACTGGTGTGTTTCAACGTGTTGTCTGGCCACACCTCCTCATTAACAGTGAGCTTGTGGGTCCGCTGCAAAGGTGAGCCCTCAGCTTCCTAGGTTGACATGCAAGTGCTTCTTACATACTAGGAAAGTGGTTCTCAAAGCACACAAAATTCATCACAGCCAGATTTTTTTTTCTTCTTTCATGAAACATGGTAGAAAATTGTCAGAGTATATTGTAGGGGGTGAGGGTCTCTTGGGATTTTTAAATATCTCCAGCCATCTTCAATCTATGCTTGGAGGGGGCCGTGAGGAGCAGCACGTGTTATGGCTACTAAGCCTTTGTCTCGCCGCGCAGGGAGTGGCCAGCGTGGCCATCTTCTGACACTGCCTTTGCTCCTTTTTGAAGGCAGCCTACACCATCCTGAGCTTCATCCCCTTCCTCTTGGACCGACGGTCTCCGGAGAGCCCCTGGTACTCCACCCACCGCGCCTACCGCTGGGAGCTGCGCCTCACCTCGCGCACCTGTCGCCTGCTGCCCGCGCAGCGGCCCCGCGTGGCTGGCGCTCTGGCGGCGGGGACGCTGCAGCTGCTGGCCGGCTGCACGGTGCTGCTGGACGCCTACGCGCGGCGCCTGCGGCACTCCACGGCCGCGGCCTTCTACGCCGGACAGGAGGCCAAGAGGGCCCGTCACCTCCACGCCCGCCTACAGCGCAGCTACGACCGGCGCCGAGGCCAGAACCTGCCCCCGCAGCCTGCTTCCGACTCCTGACAGATTCCCAGGCGTGGGTAGATGGGGCCGACCTGGAGCTGCCCCAGACCCTGTGTGTGTGACTTTGGGTAGGTGCCTTCACCTTTCCGGGCCTCAGTCTGTGTCCCGGGGGAGAACTTTGTAGGCACAATCGGAATAAGCCGCTGTCACTGTCCCCAGGGGCTTGTGGTGTGAAAGGCGTCGGGGACCGGTAAAGACCAAGCCAAGTGGAGGCGGCGCACGGATTCCACCTGCTGGCCACTGTCTTCCCACGGCCGGTCTTACTCCCAGTTGCAGGCTCTGCTGGCAGATCTACCTGGAATTTGTCTATATGCCTTGGAGCCCTTCGGAGTTGTTGATAATCATCTAAAAAAATCGATTTTTTTAAAAAAATAAATAAACGTATTTATTTGCTGAATCTGAAATCTGATTATATTGCTGCTCGCCTTCAAGCTCCTCCAGGTTTCCCATCTGGGACAGCCAGGGTTTACAAAGGAAGAGGTGGGAGGCCACGGTCCCTTTCGTCTCGGATCACAATGGACACGCTGAGTGTGCGTGTCACCTGACCCCCCACCCCCGGCCACACAAAGCCCACTGCGTACCCAGGCTTCCACATCTGTCATTTCTTCATTTGTTGTTCATTTTCAGTTTACTGGAGAGCTCTGTCTTCCAGTCATTAATTCACTCCCTGTAAACCCCACAACAGCCAGGGCTAGGCCAGATTGAGCTGGGAACCCAGAATCCCACGCGGTCCTGATCCCACGCAGGTGGCAGGAACTCAGGGCCTGGATGGTACACATGGGCGGGAAAGCAGGTTGGAAGTGGAGGGGCCAGGACTTGAACCTGGCCCTCTGATTTGGGAAGTGAAAGTCTCCAGGGGGTGTTGTAGATGGCCAACCTTTCTCATGTTACTCTGGTTTCAAGTCCCAGGACTTGACTATCTTCCGATTATATGTACTATGTAAGTGTGCACCACTGACTGAAGTTATCAAAGTCTGATTTGGAAATCGAAGAGTTCGCTGCGCTCATCACCTGGGGCAGTCCGCGACGGCTGCCGGCACGTTTCCTGCAGGGTAAGTGCATCCTTGCACCACAACAAGACAGCTAACTGAAAGCTCCAGTCATTACTGACTAAGGAGGTACTGAGTAACCCTCCACTCCGTCTTGCCCACAGGCATACAGAAGCAGGCACTGGGACTGGACATCCTACGGACTACGGACTCATGGGTCGTTTCGCCTAGAACGGTCCTAAGTTGACTTCTTAGGGTACAACACGTATTTCGTTTTTCACTTCCACTTTCCTTTTGTCTAACAGGTCTAATACTAAAGACATGCTGACGGGAAGATTCTCTAATGCACAAGCACTCCAATGTTCAATCTTTTTTTAAAAAATTGTATTTGTACATGCATTTTCAAAATATGGCTCAAATTTCTGCAGAAGAGCGAGGATTTGACAGAAGACATGACCATGTTTATCTCTTGGGTCTAAATTTCCCATTTCGTTCTTTTAAAAAAGATTTCATTTATTTTTATTGGAAAGGCAGATTTACAGAGAGGAGAGAGAGAAAGACCTTCCAGCCACTGGTTGATTCCTCAAGTAGCCGCAATAGCCAGAGCCAGGAGCCAGGAGCTTCTTCTGGGTCTCCCATGTGGGTACAGGGTCCCAAAGCCTTGGGCCGTCCTTGACTGCTTTCCCAGACCACAAGCAGGGAGCTAGATGGGAAGTAGAGCAGCCGGGATTAGAACCAGCACCCATATCACATCCTGGGCATGCAGGGGGAGGATTTAGCCACCGAGCCATTGCACTAGACCCTAAATTTCCTATTTCTATTAAACCACAAGTGATTTCTACATGCCTTTCTGCATATTTTCTGTTTGTTTAACTTCTTTTTCATCATAAATTCTGGAGTACTGAGAAGAAAATCTTCATTTGAGGCTGAAAGTGTTCACATTGATTTTATGTAAAAGATTTATCTCCAGTATGGATTCTCTTGTGTTTATTAAGATTTGGCTTCTTAGTAGAACACTGGCCGCATTTGCTGCATTCATAGAGTTTCTGTCCGGTATGGATCCCTGAGTATTAATGCACCAACTGTCATTAAAATGCTTCCCACAGTCGCTACCTTCCTAGGCTTGCGCTGCAGTATGGATTTTCTCATGTTTATGAAGATTTGGCTTCTTGTTAAAATGCTTCCCCCACTGCACTGCATTCGTACGGTTTCTCTCCTCAATGAGATCTTTCATAGAAAGTTTTGAGGTCAGTCCAAAAGCTTGTCTGAATTGATCGCATACAAAGAGTTTTTCTCCTGTATGGATTTTTGAGGTTGACTAAGCCTTGAGTTATAAAGGTCTTTTCACATTCACAGTGTATAAAGGAAAGCTCTTCTGTACAGAAAGTTTTCTGATGCTTATGAGTTTGACTAAAATTTAAAGTATTTTTCACAACTATCACTCTTAGAGGGTCTCTCTCTCTCTCTCTCTCAAATGAATTATTTAAAAGATTTATTTATTTATTTTTATTGGAAAGTCAGCTATAGAGAGAAGAGGAGAAGCAGAAAGAAAGATCCTCCATCTGCTTATTCACTCCCCAAATGGCTACAATGGGTAGAGCTGAGCCAAACCGAAGCCAGGGGCCCGGAGCTTCTTCCGGATCTCCCACATGGGTGCAGGGTCCCGAGGATTTGGGCCATCCTTGACTGCTTTCCCAAGCCATGAGCATGGTGCTGGATTGGAAGCTGGATTAGAACTGGTGCCCACATGGGATTAGAACTGGTACCCACATGGGGTCCTGCACATGCAAGACAAAGACTTTAGCCACTAGGCAGCGTGCTGGGCACTCAAGTCAATTTTTTTAATGTAGGATAAACTGAGTGTTGAGTGGATTTGTTTTTTTGCAATAATCACATGCATATTTTTAATATAAATTTCTGAGAACTGGTGGGAAGGTCATTGGCAAAGGGCTGGTTTGGAACATGACATTTTGGATGCTAAGACAGGTGTAATCTCCTGCCAACACAACACCTCTAATTGTGTTAGAGATGGGAGACACCTCAAGGCCCTTTGACACATGTCACAGTTGTGTGAGTTCAGTCCACTGTGCATACTCTGATGGGGAACACCCTTGGAATCTTCATTGAAGGGATTGTCAGTTCTACTCAGAGGGTTTACCCGGAATGCGCCTTCTCAGGGGCATCACCAATGACGAGCAGTGCCCAAGAGCCTTTGCATTTCCACCATATTTGCTGGGATTCCTCAAATATGCAAAATCTCCAATGTCCAACCAGCTGTGAGCTCTGGCTAAAAGCCAAGCCACTGCTGTCACATTTCTTGACGCTGGGCAGAAGTACGGAGGTTTTCAGATTCAACAAAGCCGAGTTTTGCCTGGAGGCATCCGCACATTCATTGAGGGCAGGACAAGTCACCATGTGGACACGCTGCTGGGAAAACAAGAGGAGAAAAAGCAAAATTGAAACTGAGCACTGGAACATACATCCAAGTCATTAGCGAGGCAGGAAACCAGGAGACTCAGTTACTGAGAAGTCCGAGGCAAGGTCAAGGTCATGCACACGCTGGACTGCCGTGTCATTTTCACTTCTGAATTGCTGCGGACAACTCAGAGGCCCACACAGATGAGAGCGGCCTGCGTGAACAACTCGCCCATCACACAGCACCTTTGTAGGGCTGAGCGCAGGCCCTCTGTGCGTGCTGCCGTGGGGATGTCCCCAAAATAAAGGTTAATTACAGAATGTGGGCACAACGTCATTCACTTATGTAAACCAGAGGAAATCAGTTGCGTGAAGACGAAAGCTGTGAGGGCCACAGTGAGTAGTGTTAGGACCCAATGGAATCTGTTTTGTGCTTCTGAATGTGTCTTGATAAACTTTGAAAGACTCAGCAATGGGCTGGTGCGGGGATACAACCTCTGCTTGCAGTGCCAGCATTTCGGATGTAATTTTACGTTCTTCTTAGCTTACTGGTATCAATAGGAGACCCTGAAGAGCGCATTGGCTTGGTTAGACCAAGTTCTAGGTAGGATTTGAAACACCAAATAATCTACACTGTAAATGTAACAGATGTGACAACATTTCAAAACTTGCTAGACATTAGGCACGGGATATTGAACCAATACAATCAATGCGAAATGTTGTCACATCTGTTACATTTACAATGTAGATTATTTGGTGTTTCAAGATTGCCTCTGGGCTAACGATGTTTTTGCACTGATTTCAGAGGGAGGGTCTCTCTTCGGTACGAACTCCCTCATGTTTAGTAAGGAGTCAGATGTGAGGGCCATGGCACATGCACCGCATTTGGGTAGTGTTGGTCCCGTGTGAATTTTCTGATTTTTGCAGCTGTAGATAAAGTATTGCTACAGCCCTCACATTCAAAGGATTTCTCGAAGGCATGACTGTTTGGGTGAGTAGCACTAAAGGTCTCAGATACACTGGTACACTTAGAATCAATTCTCAGCTCTAGCTTCCTGCCCCTGGGAAGTAGCAGGTGATGGTGCAAGCAGCCAGGATCCTACCGCCCAATGGAGGACACCTGGTTTGCATCCTCGACTCCTAGTTTCAACTCCAGCCGTTTGAGTGAGTCAACAGAGCAGATCTGTCTTGCATTCCCCCTCCCTGACCTCTAAAAGAAACTTTAAAAACAAGGTGATAAGAAATTAACTCACCTGGAGCATCACTTGAGACAGACTTTTCAAAAGGGACTCATTTTTCTCTCCTTCCTCTTCTGAGTTTCCTCACTAGAAAATTGTGGAACTCTGAGCATTCACACTTCAGAATTGAAGACAGACTCCCGAGAGAGCAGTTCCACGGAGGAGGCACCGAGCTCTGTCACAGCTCTGTCACAGCGGTCTCTCGACCCTCCTCTTTGCCCAGTTCTCATGCCAACCCCCCTTGGCAGCTAAGATCGGGGATGCGGAGGACTTACTCAATGATGCAGCGTGAAGTGGTCCTCACCGGACCTGCCACCTCTGGGACCTCAGATGAAGGCAGGCCCCTCACCTCCCAGAG